ATTTAGAACTTAACCATATAATTATGTTCACTATATATCAGTACATTAAGATTAAGTGAACTTATCATAACTTGTTTAGTTACGTAATATTTCAATTCAGAATATATATTATATAAAATGAATAAATTATGCAAAACTTAATGATAGCAAAAAAATCATGCAATGCTATATATAAGTCATATCTAAGTATTGAATGTTTTCTTCTAAATTAACTTTGCATTTTACTTGCATTCGTTTTACCACATTTAATAAGCATTACACAGTACTGTATATCAATAAAATACTTAAAGTTTTGTTATTTAAAAATAAAACTGAACATATTGTTAAATATTAATTTTTAATTAATTAAACTATTTCCACTTACCAACACTTCCTGTCCCTTTCCTATCCAATGTCAGACTGCCACTTCCTGTAGGAGAACTCTACAAGGTGTCAATCACAGCTTTCCTTCACTCTTTGAACTTTAAATATGTTTTACTTTGAAGTCATTCAAAAATACATTTGAAGCCATTATCATTTAATTAATAAATGTTTTCTAACAAACGTATTGTTTACTTTCATGCTCAATCAAGAATCAAATTATCACATAAATGATCAAAGTCAGGTCCTAGTAACCCTAAGGCAAATCTGACCAATGGGAGATAAGTATTAGTGTCACAGGTTGACACCCACTCTAATCTGATTAGCATAACTGAGGTCATGTGACCCCTTGTTGTCATAGGGAGAGCAAATTTGAAAAGCCATATGTGGCAGATGCCAAAGATATTTGTGTTTATCGTAATTCAATAGAAAATATTTTAAATTTGAAAATTGTTTATAAGTCTTTGAAATTAATATCTCAAAATTGACATGTTTTGATATGTAATGTCCATTTTATATTGAGAAGATTTTTAAAATTCTTTGCATTTCTTAATTTCCATAAACTTTATGTCACATATTTTGTTTAAAGAAAAAAGAAACTTTTGAACTAACTTGCTATATTGATATGATAATTATATCTTTAACTTTAAATACAATAAGAAGATGAAAACTGTTTATGTGTCCCCCATACATCATATGCAAGTTACTTTCTTTGAAAGCAGTTTGTACTTCTCCCTTCCATAGAAACACTTTAACATTTTATAATTTACATGTATAACAAAAAATTTAAAAGCCAGGAAAAAAAATTTTGCAAAAAAACAATTTAAATTTTTTTTTTGACCAGCTTTTTTTTTCGGATATCTTGAGTTTTAACCCCTATTTGTGGGCCGGAAAAAAGCTTTTTATCAAAATTTTTTCTGAAAAATTATTTGAAAATAAAACCCTGAAGTTTTTAAATTTTTCATGGTTTTTAAAATTAAATTTTTCGTTCAAAGCAGAAAAAAATTGATTCAGGTATGAGGGGATGGACATGGCCTGCAATATTATTTTTAGACTTATTTTAAAAAATTGTTTCTTGCATTAAAGAAAATAAAACAATATTGGATAAGAGTAAAAAAAGACTTAAAGCCTCTTCATGTTTTTATTGTAGAGCTGGTGAATTACGTAAAAATGCAAATATGTTAGACAAAGATATTGTGACTCTAAAAATGATAAAAGAATCATTGTATTTCACCAATAAAATAGAGAAAATAAGAATCCCCAAAGAAAGTCCAACACAACAAAAAATTGGGAAAAAATTTGCAAGGGGTCTTTTTTGGTTAGCCTGTTTTATGGACAGTAATGGAAACAAGTTTTCCGTCCATGCCCCCCAGCACCGGGGTTTCAGCAGCAAAAAACAAATTCAAAATTTATAAAAATTTTCAGGAAATCCCCCATAAAAAGGGGCCCAAACTAATAAGGGCTACTATTCTTTTGCTTTCAGCGGGAGGATAATTTTGATATCCCAAATAGCCTCCTTAAAAACAAAAAAAAATTTAAACTTGACCCGGAAAAAATCAAAGGGGTTTTTTCTGTTTTTTTTCCCGCCAAATTTCCATTTCAAAGTTTCCCCAGAGCATGGGAAAAAAACAAATTTACCTTTTTAAAAGGCCGGGTTATGACCCCTTTAAAATTTTATACAGAACTCAATATTTTTCATTTGATGTTATGTGACAATATACTTTCAATATAGGAAAGAAAAAAATACATGAAATATAAGTAAGAGTAAATATTGTAATAAACATGTTTTTCTTAAAAACTTGGTGCCCTTAGGGTAAAATCTCCAAAAAACATTTATGCACATGCATTTATTTATCAACTAGAATCAGAATGTAAATAAGCTATTTACAATAGAATAACACAGTCAGGAGTGGATTCCCTGGGTTAATACCTCCCTGTGATGTAAAAAGAAAGTATGTCAGGAATTTAACACATTTAGGTGTTGTTATTGTTGACTTTGTTTAGGGAAATTCCCCTTAGAGCAATTAAATTGTCTGTTTACTTTTCTTAAGTATGGCCTAAATACTGTTGCTTCTCATATTATATGAAAGCTAGAGTAAAACATTTCCATAGATTATTTGTACACATTGTAAATGCTTAAATGATTGAAGGTGAATATCATTTTTGCTATATTCTAAGTTCAGATATTTAGAAATTAAAGATATTTCTATGAACAAAAATGAAGTAAAATCTTGACAAATTATAGGAAAACACAGACTGACTTACAGTATTTCACATGACTTATTTTTACAATATGATGTTTAAAAAGTAAAGAAAGAATGAAAGCTTTAATACATGGGCATATATTCTTTTAGACAATTGAACCATTTATATGTTAATTATTTGTAATTTGTGCACAATGAATGTTGTTGAAAATGAGTATCACTTTTTTGGCCAAATTACCGTGAGCGCTGAAATTTCTTTTAAACCACATTTCTGTCGATGGCCAACAATAAAGAATAAGTTCAAACTTATAAATAATGAACTTCAAATAAAAAAAGTCAATTTCCCAAGTAGCAAAATTTATTTTCTTTGCAAATAAAATCCATGTTTCTTAATAACCTGGAAAAAATAACTGCCACAAAATTTATTAGTTACTTCTTTCTCTTTTTGGATATGTTTTCATTTGCCAATGTATATATTTGTATGTGCTATAAGCCTTGTAAAATGTTTAATGCAATAAAATTATTAAATTGAATTAAATATATGTTAACTAAACTTTGTACTAACATAAACTGATATTGCAGGTTTTGTGTGCATTTTGAATAACCAAAAATTGAAGCATCAAAGATTGTACAAATATCGAATGTGGGCCTATATAGAATGTTATTAATGTATTTAAATATTTAGTTGCAAAATTAAAAAAAATCTGCAATGGAAATCTTTAATAATAATATGAGAAATTCAAATTGTCATTGTCACTGTTTGAAATTTTCATCTTAAAAATAATAATTTTACTTTTACTTTAATATTGTGAAAAATATGAAATAAAAATTTATGTTAATTCATGAAATATGCCTTAGTAACCATAAGCTATAAAGATCTTTATCATAGTAACACACTATACACCGAGTTATCTCCCCTGCTAGTTAGTGTGTTCTGTATGACATGTTGATTAGGTAGTGGTAGTCTGTTAATTGAATTAAGGTGTCCTGTCATTGTATGGTGTCATCCTGTGACATGTATATTGTGAGGGTATTGCACTGAAGGTGGTCAGGCATCTGTACTTGAAAGATTAATTGGATACATTATTATTTTTTTATTGTTACATTTTGATGCAATTAATTTGTATATTTAAAGTAGATCTGCTTAAAAACATAAACAATTTTGAAAATCTTAAATAGATTAAAAAAACTAGTGCATGTTAAAATTATGAAAAGATAATAAGGAATTAAATTGTGTGATTAAATTGAAAAGAATTTAAAGCACAGTTCTTAGTTCAATTTGAGTTAAAAGCATGTAAACTAAATTCTTTCCATTTTTAGCTTATTTTGCACAATAAAAATGATTATCATGGGAAAACAGAGTAAGCAAACGATATGAACTTGCACAAAAAGTATTTTCATAAATTATAATAATAAATAAAATCTCCAAAAGTATATTTCCTGTCCCTTCATGCATGTCAGGAAGACGGACAAAACCCAACCAGTCACCAGCGCTTTAAATGTTTTTGGTTGATAATAGTATCTCTTTTTTTTATCTTTTTCAAACTTCATTATTTATTTATACATAATTATACTTACTTATCTTATTCCTTTTATTGAAAGTGGGGGCCTTTCTGTCTCAATATTTTTTGCTCAGAAAAATAAAAATGCCAGATATCTAACTCTGCCTGCATATTTATTGGACTCATATTTATTATGTTATATAGCTTTGTGGATTAAAAAAAAATCTTAAAAATTTAGGACAACATTAGTATTTGTAAGCCCCATTAACCCAGGGTTAGTTGTTATGTTTTTGGTTGTATTGCAATTAAGGGAAAACGGTCCTTTAATCAAGTAACATTAAGTTATTATATTTGCAATGCATTTATCACAATCAGTATGGTGCCCTCCAATCTGGACATGTATATAAATGAGGGTACATCCGCTCGTGAAAGCACAAAAAGTAGCTTTTGCTGTTAAGTACTGACCCCAAATATATTGCCCGTCATTCCCTGAAAGAGTTAGTTTGGAAGCACAAAGTTGTGAAAATTTACCTCCATGCAATTTCTAGTGTATAAGCCTAAGATATGTATTTTGCAATAAAAGTAGGTCACTGCAGTTGCCAATGAGAACCTAAATGTACAGTAACCTGAGACAATATGAAAAGGAAGAGGTAGTCCTAAAATGGGCTGTTATCCCAACAAAGATCACAGCCATAAGCCATCTAACCATACTAGCATCTCATGCACCCTTCCTCGTTGTCACTATCTACTCTGTAGAGCCACTACTCTCGGCTTCAGTCAGGAGGTCGGCAGCTGGTCGTCAGGTACAAGTTCTGGTCTTTGTTTATTGTACACAAGAATTATAAAAGAGAAATAACAATTTTGTTCATGCTTACAAAACTTGCATTGATTATTGAAAGATATTTATAATTATTTTGAACTTTTTTCCATATAGATATTTCAGTAAATATGAACTTAAAGAGCTATTCACGCTGGACGACCCGCACTCGTCTACAACCCAGCAACAGTTGGAGCAGATGCACAGTGGACAGCGACTGACAGACCCTAGTCTAGATGAACACATCGCATATCTTTACTCACTAGGTAGGGTTTGAAACAATATTTGCTTTATTGCCAGACCCCATTCCCCCTACCCCAACCCTGGCACACACAGAATGTTGAAGAGAGGACATTATTTGATATCTGAAGAAAATGCTAATTAGTTATCATGTTCAATTTTCTTGGTGGAACTTTAAAAGTAAATAGAACAAACAACAAAGAAATTTATTTTTAACAAAGGGGCAACTAATTATGTCCGCCACAGCAAAATATACGGGCAAATATCCGTGGGGGGGGGGGGGAAATGTCTTAGAATCAACTGAATCCCGGACAATCCCCCTCCCGGACAATTCCCCTTCCATATTATTTTCACAACCTGGACATTTCCCCTCTCGTTATTTTAATAGGGTGGACTTTTCCCCTCCCATTAATTTTATAGGACGGACAATTCCCCTCCCATTATTTTAGCAGAGCGGACAATTCCCCTCCCGTTTTTTCACAGAGCGGAACGTGACATTATACAGCCCATAATCATAGCCGCCACTGCGTATAAAAAAATTATAACCATTCTTATTAAAGATGACAGTTTTTACTCTTAACAACACACTGTTAAAGATCGGAACTTTAAGAATCATTATTTCACAAAGGTGACGTTAAACCGCCTTTTATAATCATTGCCGCCGCTGCTTAAATTAAACAAACTGTCAATAAAAAATCTTTAATCAATGCTGTTCCCCTTAATTAAATGTGTCCTTGTTTGCAAAACCAATTATTTACAATTATTTTACCGCTGCAGAAATGTATTGACGAAATAAAGATTATTTTAACAAAAAAATGCGTTTTATTTTGTTAATATTCATGTCAATAAGAGACAAGCAAAATATATTTAAAGTCGATTAAAAATACCTTTCAAATAAACAATATTATAACATATATATGTTTAACAGCCACGGGAGGGAAATTGTCCTCCGCTCTGACAACAGCGGGAGGGGAATTGTCCGCTCTGCTAAAATAACGGGAGGGGAATTGTCCGCCCTGTAAAATTAACGGGAGGGGAATTGTCCGCCGTAAAAAAATAACGGGAGGGGGAATGTCCGGGTTGTGAAAAAACAATCAAATTTACTGGGAGGGGAATCGTCCGGGAGGGGAATTGTCCGGATACCGAATCAACTATATCAGAAATATTACACACAAGTTTATAGTCTTGATGTTCATCTTATTAATTTTCAATTATTATACTGTCTCTTTTTAACAAAGATTGGACTATGTATGACAGGCCAAAATGACTTCCTAAAATACATTCTAAAAACTTGCCTCAAAACTTACAAAATACTGTTGACTATGAAAAATCCAAAAATTACTGCCTTAAAATTCAAAATGGACTGTCTCAATATTTTTTGACAAAAAACCTGGATATACTATCGAAAAAATTTGGTTAATTTCACATTTCTTATTAAACGAGTAAAAATTTTACTGTATTCTCCAGAATTTAAGATATTTGATACTTCTAAAAGATCCCTTTTCTATAAGAAATTGATGAAAATAATGCTAAATTCGGGGTTTAAAGGTCTTTTTCTGCTTTTATAATGTTGCCATCAAAATATTAAGGTTTTGACATGTCATTAAAACATGTTAAAATAATGACCCTGAATTCTTTTTGTAGGATTTTCAAAATAAATTTATTTAACATTTCCTTTAAAAGATGGGAAAATTTTGAGGAGTAAAGAGTAACATTTCATAACAAGTTTTGTTTTGATATTAAACATGTTCAAAAATGAAAAGAATTGCCTTTTAAGTCCAATTTGTAAATTAACATGTTTCCATGTGATGTAATAAGATTTATTGTGATTAAAATCAATTTGTTAAAATAAGATTTCTGATTTCAAACTGAGAGATGATTTTGTCACAACAACTTTTAACATTGATACTGATTACGCAATCTTTCAAATAGAGTAAAGAGGTGTTGTTATTTTAAGCTGATTTTAGCTACTGGTTTCTGTAACAACAGTAGCTGTTTAAAGATGGGATTAACTAATCCGTTAATCCAAGCAAGGAGATTAAGATGAAAATTTATCAATTAAACCTGCCCCTATGACATCACCAAAGCTAAAGTATTATCTGAGATTATGTAGGCTTCTTTGTATAGCATATCCCAGATAACATGTGGTGTTTTTATTGGAATTTTTCTGTATATACATGTAGGGTCATGTGATACTTGTCATGTGATAGTTGTCATAAATATGCCAAATATGTCAATACTGTTGTAAAACACTTGTATTTGTTTATCTATGTTTGCTTTTTCTTTTGACTTTTTGCCTTGTAGCAGAAGGAAATTGTAAAAATAAAAATGGTAGAAATTCACAATATCAGATAAAATAGGGTTTAAAAGAGTTCTTAGTAAACATAAAGTTACACACTGACAAAAATATATTATTTGAAAACTCGAAGAAATATTGCAGTATTGAAAAATTATCTTGAAATTCATCATTTTGAAGCATTAATTTTGTCTTTCTTAAATAGCCATGAAAAGAAGGTTTCATTTTTTAGATGGACTTGATGAATTTCAACAATTTGACCCTTACTACATGTAAATGACTAAGCTTAAGATTAAATTGATTATTTCTGTTAAATTGTTGTAAATTATTAAAGTGACATTATGCTCATATTTTCATAGTAAAGTTGAGCCGAGTTGGCTTTATATTTCAAAAGATTGACTGTTTAAATGGTGTTTGACCAACAGTTTATATTGGAAAATGTTTGGGATAAAATTTGAAATCTCATCTGCCTAAAATATAAAAAGACTGCCCCCCCCCCCCACTCTTTTATATATAAACTGATCGTAACAGGTAAATTCTAAAAGATATTTACAGAAATTTCGTTTGAATCTGGGGATTATTTATTGTTTATGTGATGTAAATTATTGAATTAAAAGGAATTATGGCACAATAAAAATTTATTTTTACTCTAACCTGTTCACTCACTATATACCTTTAGATGGGCAAAATGTCACTTTAAACACAAAATATTCATCTGAAAATTGTTTACATTTTTTGGCTATTTAAATTTTAATTGAATTATATACCCAATGGAAAATAGTATGTTTTTTCTCTTAAATAATGAAAAAAAATCGAGAACAAACCCAAATGGAAACAGTTGCGCATAGAGTAAGACAAATTTTCTCAGCTTGTCATCTAAAAATCACTAGATGGCAAAAATACTAAATTAAATGTTTTCAGGTTTTCTGATATTTTTAACTTGACAACCTTGATTTCTGGGTTGGCAATTTATCGGGGTGATAATGGACATAATTATTTACATAACTTTATGTGCGTAATTAAAGAAACATAAAATAACAGATAGTCAGTCCATTTGTACCCTGCACTTTGATTATTGTAAAATTTCACCTTTTCTCAAACACTAATACTAAAGTATGGTGTAACCTAGTTTGCCCATAACAGTATTGAGGGGTACTAGTTTTTAGTTTGTGGCAGAAACCTTAAAAAGACTACTGATATAGTTCAGATATGTATAATAAACATGGTCATCTTAGTGCACAGTCAATAACAATGATTGTATGGTAAAAGATAATATTTATTTTCATGTTTGTCACTGGTTTTTAGGTATATCTGGGTAGGTATTTGTGATATGATTATATCATTGATTTGGAAGGTCCCCAATGCCTAAGTGGTAAAAGTCACTGAATTAGAATCGTATATCCTTTACTGCTGGGTGTTATAATCCCAGCAGGGACTTTGGATTGAAACATATGAGAAGGCTATTCAACTTGCTTATTAAAAGTTGGTGGTTCTACTCTGGTGTTTGTTGATGCTGGAAATAATGTAAAGTTGCCATATGACCTTTACAGTGTAAGTGTGACTGAAAAAAAAAAAGAAACAAAAAATCAACAACAACAAAACAAAAATCCCTTAATTGACATTTTTTTTTAAACATGCACAGAATTAAGATGGAACTTACACTCTTATACTGTAAGGGTATTAGTAGGTAGTATGAATAGCATGAACTCCTTGATAGCGCTTGTTTTATTAACTTTAACTCAATATTTGCATGACGTCTGTTTACTCTTGTTTCTGCCATGGTTGAGTGGTTTAAATCATTGACTTTGAATCACTTGTCCCTCATCGCTGTAGGTTTGATTCTGGTGGTTGGTGGTTCTACTTAGGTGTCAGTTTGTGGCTGAATTAATTCATTTAGAGGAAGTTGAGGTCTTCTTCCTCCAGTAAAGCTGTAAAGTTGCTTTTTGACCTTTAAAATGTCATGAAAATGAATGACATGTTCTAAATTTCAGTTTGTTTGACAAAAAGTCTTTGAAATAAACTGTGTATGCAAAAACATTTTCATGTAAGGTTAAAATAAATAAATTAATAGATAAATAGTGTGAATAAATACAAAAGAAAACAAACCCAGCAGACAGACAGACAACAATTGATCATCCAAAAGCCAAACTCCCCGCTATTCCACTGACCATGGCTGGTCACAGTACAATTGCAGTTTACTCTATGTATCATTTTACCTTGTAGACCTGTTTGGGTTAAGTGACCATGACCTGATGTTCTCACACGGGAGCGAGGGAGGTGATGAACAAGATGATGAAGAAGCAGCTGTTGAACCTGAAAACGACTATATTCAACATAGGGTACATATCAATTTCACGCCTATAAAAAATATGGTTTTTATGCCCCCACAAAGTGGGAGCATATATCGTTGTGCTTGTCCGTCCGTCTGTCAGTCCATCCGTCCGTATGTCCAGAAATCTTGTGAACGCAACTCCTCTTATACCAGATGGCAGATTTTGCTTAAACTTTCAGGGATGAACAACCTTAATGTGTAGATGGTAGTAAAGGAAGGAATTTTCGCTGCGACCAAATTTAACAGAATTATGGCCCTTTGTTGATTTTTTCACTATATACTATGTAGAAATTTTGTGAACGCAACTTCTCTTAAACCGGATGGCAGATTTTGCTAAAACTTTCAGGGATGTTTGCTGCGACCAAATTTAACAGAATTATGGCCCTTTGTTGATTTTTAGTTTTCAACTTGTGGCACATGTAGTCCAAAAAATATTTGACCTAGAGTCATAAGATTGACAGAACAGTGGCGTGTGGGGGCATCCGTGTCCTATGGACACATTTCTAGTTTGTACTATAGATGCAAAGGATAAGCGTTACATTTAAGAATAAAATGGTACTCATCCTCAATGTCGGATGTAACACAGATTTGACAAGTTCGTTGTGTTCTTTCAATTTGATTTCTACCATGTCTGCCGGTTTCTATACATAACATGTGTGCTGAAACACGAATTTGTGTCAATGATTGGCGTAAATTTTTCGATTTTGATTTTATGTAAGTAATCACAGATGACAAACTTATCCTTAATGTAAACATACAAATTATTTAAAATGTTATTATCATTATAATGACTATATTCAACATAAGGCACATATCAATTTATGCCCCATATATTGATAGATCAGTGGGATCAGTTTTCCTGTTGTGATAGTTAGGCTACTTGAAGTTGAAGTTTGATCCTCAGCTACTGTAAATTTTGGAAAATACCTTAAAACTTTGGTCCTGTGTATTGGTGCTATACACCTTACTTAACGAATAGAAGATATTTGTTTGTTTTGCATGTAAGATTGAAATATATTTCACAGTGTGGACACAAGATGTAATAAATTTTATGAGTGGTGTAGCTATGAAAATATAAGAGCTGTTGTTCACGAGTGAAAAATTTGATCTCACATACAAAACAAACAAATTTTCTATTTATTTCAAGCTTTTTAGTGGTTGTCAGTAATTTTTACAATTTTTTGCTGTTATTCATGATGATTGAAAAATAATTCTGTATAAATTGTTTTTGTGACATTTGCTATGTGATATGTGCAAATTATCATGTGCTTCTCATTATGATGCACATTTTACTTACAACAGAGATAATTTTGATGATATTTCCACATACTTACCATACATTCTTATCTTCCACATTCAAAATGGGCTGGTTAATGTGTAAATTTATTTAACATTTTCATTGTGAAATTTTCAAAATATGATTTTACTGTCTTCTGAAATCCATGTTATTAAGAGCCTGTTATTTCTCTTGGAAAGAAGTAATTTCTTTATAAATACACTGTTAATTACTTGGCAGTTGCCTGTGTGTTTCCAGTGTTTACTAGGTAAAATATGTCACAGAAATAAATTTTTTAAAAAAGGCATACGCTGATCCTTAACTTGTGCGCTTCAAAGAGATACTTAGACATATTATTGAAAAAAATGTCATATTGCACTACATGTATTTTGAAACTGAGTGAAATATAGAATTTTGGTTCTCACACTGTTCATTGAAAGGCGAAGTCTATCCAGCTAGCTTACGGAACGTCGGTGTTTCTACTCAGGTGCCCGTTCGTGCCTGAAATAATGCACGGAAGGGCACCTGAGGTCTTCCTCCACCAGAAAAGCTGGAACGTTGCGATATGACCTATACTGTGTCGATGTGACATAAAACCCAAAACAAACAAAGAAAGGCGAAGTAGATCAAACAATGTATAAAGATTTGCATTATGTCATATAATGTAGCATCTTTCGGCACTATCATTGTAATATCTGTTAAGTTTTAATGAGAAAACTATAGAGGATCCAGCTCATGAAAATATTTAGAAATTCTCACTGACATATTTTCCATTTTCACTGAAAGCAAACAAAATTTCTCTATTTCCGCACCACCTTTCAGGTTCAGAAAGCTCGTGAAATTATTCAAATGGAGTCTAGTCAGCCGTGTACATTAGAGGAGAGACTTGGCAAGTCAACTCAACAGCCAGGTGGGGAAGGTGGTACGAAGGAAAGTTACATAAAGAATCAGTTTAGCACCTGGGACTTCCCAAAACCTGGCGCCTCACAGGAGGAAGAAGGTACCAAGATAAGATAAGTTTTATTTCAAGTCGGCAAGTTTACAACAGTACAACATAAGCTTTTATAACCGACTGTATATAACATAAAGTATAAGATCAACAAATAAAGTTACAAATGAAAAACGTATTTTCTGGCTACAGTGCCTGTGTGGATTTACATAAATTTTGTTATATCTTATGTTTTAAAAACAAATACTGAAAGTAATGGAGCACTTTGTCCTACATGTCTTCTTATTGTTAACTTGGTTTGACCTGAATTTGGTTTATGTAAACAGGCACTAACACATATCAATAAAATATTCAAATGTGTACAGAAAGGCGGTTTTAGTTGTCCAGTGGTTCATGTTCCTGCTATTGATTCATTTATGTTAGGAAACTTTACACTAGCTTAGGAAGGCCAGTGCTTATACTCGGGAACTAAATCTGAAATAGTAAATGCTTATAGGGGGATCTGAGGTCCTCTTCCACCAGTTAAGCTTGAAAGGTATCATGTGACAGGGTTTTCATTATTAACCGATTGACGATCCAAACCATTGGTTAAAATGCTGTAAAAATCAGTTGTATTTTCAGCCTGTATATTAAAGTATCATCCTTGACCCTTGTGAAAATTGATTGTTTTCTTTGGAGCATTTGTTGCCTCAGATAAAAATGAACACCCTGGATGACATTTGCAATTTTGGTGCGAATTATAACCCAACAAAAAAAGCAAACAAAAAAAAAACTAAAAGAGTACAAATCAGATTATAATAGTTCAAGGAAACATGCAATGTTTGATGTTTCAGAGAGTGAAGAGGACACGGATAGTGAGAATACGGAATCTTCCCATCATTCAGGGACGTCAGACCATGCCGATGTTGTTCACATAGTGGAATCTCCACAGAGAGACACCAGAACTGACATGCTGGCACAGTCAGACACTATAGATCTTACGTCACCACTTGTTAAACAAGAAGTAAAACAGGAAACTGATGTTAAGGTTTGTAGAAATTTATAAATATCCCCACCAAGCAAATTTTGAATGGTGTTGTGTTTATAATGAGAGTCTCCTTGTAGCAGGGATCAAAAAAAATGTTCAGAGCCACTCATCATGGGACAAATGACATCAAAATTCTACTTTACCTGTATGTTTAAAAGCTCACCCTGCATTTCAGGTATAATTTTCAAGATTAACTGTGCAGCTTAAATTTATTTATAAACATTTTTATTTGTTAGCTCGACTATTCGAAGAATATGAGAGCTATTGTAGTCGCGTCGGCGTCAGCGTCTGCGTTGGTTAAAGTTTTTTGTAAAGTCAAATATCTCAATTATTGCTTAAGATATTCAATTGAAACTTACAATACTTATTTATAGTAACAAGGTACATCAGATTGACAAGTTGGATAACTCTGCCTACAATATTGACAGAATTATTCCCCTTTTTTACTTAGAAACTCTGCCTACAATATTGACAGAATTATGCCCCTTTTTTACTATTGCTTGAGATATTCAATTGAAATTTAAAATACTTTTTTATAGGAACAATGTTCATCAGTTTGCAAAATTGCAAACTTTGCCTGCAATATTTGCAGAATTATTTGCCCCTTTGAAACTTAGAAATTTCGGTTATAGGTTAATGGTCTTCAAAGATATTTACTTGAAACTTTACACATGTACTTAGGGTCATAATTGGTGGGTCAAAATTGTATGTCACTGACCAAGTTCCATAACTGTATCTTGCATTAAGGCTGATTCATATCCCCTTTTGTACTTAGTCTCTTGGTTAATGTTTACATGCAAGTTTTACATATCTCAATAACTATTAAAGATATTTATTTAAAACTTCACATATGCATTTTGGGTCATAATTGTAGGTCACTGACAAAGATCCATAATTCTATCTTGCATTTAGGCTGATTTTTCTCCCCTTTTTCATCTTAGAAATTCATGGTAAAGTTTTGCTTCTAAGCTGTTATCTCCATAACTACGGAAGGGTTTGTGCCTTTTTTGGGACAATTTTATGCATTCATAATAATAAAGCAGTGATTTACTTGATAAAACATCTTAATAACAAGCCTTTGTACCTTTTCTGTCAAAGGCTCTTTTACTATCAAGCACTTAGAATAGTCGAGCGTGCTGTCCTACCAACAGCTCTTGTTATGTTTCTAATTAAATGAACTTTCCTGTATTTTCACCATGTTACTTTGTTGTTCAAAGGATTTCCTATAATGGGAAATGGTAAAGTTATGTGTTATATTTTGTATCGTTTATGTTCATGTTTTACTTGCTTTATTATAGGTAGAACCTGTAACAATGGACTATTCTAGAACACCAAAACAAGAACTAGGTACAGTGAAACATGAGATGATGGATACAGAGATGAAATCTCCCTTCGCTGTTCAAAAGTTTACAAAGGATGAAGATGAGCCTATGGAAATAGGAACACCCAAAAGGCAGCCTCTATCTGAATATGTGAATGTTAACACGGACGCAAATGCTGAAGCTGTTAGAATGACACCTGGGAACAAAACACCTGTGAAACAAGATTCACCTAAACTAAGACTGTTTGAGACTACACCAAAATCATCTAGGAGGGATAGCAACATTGTACATGAAGAAATTATTATATCCCCGGATGCTACCAAACCGTTGGTTCAAACTCGGCCCCCAAGTACATCAAACCTAAGTATGATGAGTCTTGCAGGTGCCTTCCAGCCCAAATTTAATTCTACCGAATGTTATGCTGGTGAAAGTCCAGATATTTTAAATCAGTCCAGAAATTCCAAGACAAGCTCTGGTTACAGTCCTGCCGGGCGAACAAAAATTGGTGCTCAAAATTCACCTTCAAGGCAACCGTTTCAGTCACTTGTTGCAGAGTCTCCAGACACTTCAATTGCAAGCTCAGGTAAACATAGACAGTTATCGAGCAAATCAAGCGGAACTGATGAAAATAGTTCTTGCTTGGTAGAATCGGACGGGGAGAATGATGATGATCCTGTGATAATTGACGATTCTGTGGTAGTGTCGGAAGGCGAGGAAAAAGAAAATATAGCACCTGGTAATATATCTGTACACGATATAAATAATATCTTACAGAAAAGCTTAGGTAATGCAGCAGATCATTCGTTCAATGAAAGTCCTGTGGTTACTAAATCAAGGCGGAAATCAACAGCATACAGGAGACGTGTTATGGAAAGTTCAGACGAGGACGAAGACAATGATGAGGATAAAGAGACAAATAAAAGTTTACCAGATATAAGTTTTAATACTAGTCGTAATAAATTTGAAAAATCTCTTGAAAATGTAACAGAGGACTTGGCAAGTGTAGGAAACAATGAGGGTTTGGAAAACGATCAAGAAAGTAATGGACATATAGAGACAGAATCTGCAAATAGAGAAGAAATGCATAGTGACGATGGTAATGATAGTGACATGTATGCTGACAATGAAGCAGATGATGATGAAGGTGATAATGATGACATTGATGATAGTAATGATGAACATGATATTGATCATGGTAGTAATGGAGTCACTGAAATCAGTAAAGACGAAGATAAATTAGATGTAGATAATGTATGTGATGTTGCCAATGAGGATGAAGTTAATGAGGATGAAGTTAATGATGATGAAAATGTCGAGGATGAGTCAGAAGAGGAAGAGGAGGTTGAAGGTTAGTTTTATTGTTTTCAGCTCATCTGACTAACTTATGATGGTCAATGTGTGTTTGTGAACTCTTTTGTTCCATCATTATTATTATATGTACTATGTACATGTATCAACCTCTGTACATTTTGATAAAGTTGCGTAGAATTTCCCCTCCTTGCTTTAAATTGTCTGATGATATAATTATGTTGCATAGTAAAAGCATCTGAAAGTGACATGTACAGCAAGGCTAATTATTCAAAATCTGTTGAAGATATTCTCTTTTCCACTTAAAATGAAAATGCATTTCTTAATTGCAGATTAATTGAAGGTCAATCTTGCTTAATTATATCTTTTCTATTTTCATTATTGATAATTTCCTCAAAAATTGTCATAGATATTCACTTCAAACTTACTGGAAATACTTATCAAGGGCAGATACGTCTGCCAAGTCAGTTCTCAGAACAATGATAATTCTGTTAGAGAAGTGAATAGATATGCATTGTAACTAATAATCTGGACATTATAAAGTTACTATAAGCTGAATTATTGTCTTTACCATACATGTGAACTTTTTTTTGATGATCAAGTGGGAGATTTTTCTTCAAAAAGAGGGAGATTTTAGAATTTGCAATAAACAAAGAAGAAAGCTCTGATATCAAAAAGAGGGAGATTGCATTAATTTGTGAAAATACCATAATAATAATGGATTTTAAGAAAATCTTAAAAAATATGGCTGCAGAAAGTGGGAGTCTCCCGCTAAAAGTAGGAGAGTTCACATGTATGCTTTACTGGTATTTTGGATGTTTTACATAGATCTAGTTAAAATTTGTCAATTTTATTATTTCAGAATTCGAAGATTTACCAGAGACTGATCAGATTCGTTACAATGAGCTGGTGGAGGCTGGCAGGTTTGTATAGAATTGTTCTTGTGAATTGTCTCTACTTTAGCTTACATTCATTTTGATATTTGTATCTTTTGACATAGCTCATTAGATGTATTGTTTGTCATGGATTCTTTAAGGCAGTTCATACAAGTATCTCTTAATTTCTGTTTTAACTCAGATAGGGGCCGGAGGGGTGGGGGTCGGGGAATGGTAACATTATTAAAGGGACTCCACTGATGTTTCTTTTCAAGTCACTTGAGTCCAAAATTGAGTTTATTTTGTTTGTAAAAGAAATTGTCACTGAAATATTTTGAATACCATTCAGAGATAAGGAGGCAGGCAATTGGTACTTTGTATTACCATAGCAAGTAATTTTTATCTTCAAAGCACTTGGCCTTCACTACTGTGGGTTTGAGTCCAGCTAGCTATAAACTGCAGACGGCTATTTCAGATTCCTTTAAAGTGCCCGCTCGTGCCTGAATTAAGGGACATGTGACCTTTTTAGTGTACATACAACTTGAAACTCGACCAAAAAATAAATTAATACATGTAAATAATGTAAATAAAGAAAAGGAGCTTGGCAAGATGGATAATCAGTTTCTTTTTATTTTAATTAACAAACATGTTCTTGTTTATTATTAGAATATATTGCGGGAACAAGCAGTATGAAGAAGGTCAAGCTTGTGTTCTACAAGCGTTAGAGATTTTTCCTGACCCGGAACTGCAGCAGACGTCAATGACCTTACAGCGTAAAATTATGAAACAAAGGCAAAGACAACAGATGGAAAGGGAGCAGAATATGCAAACATGATGTTATAGAATTAGTAGAAAAATTCTTGTGATAAATTTACTGTAGTACATTGTATGTAGATTTGAAGGTCTAAACTTTTTTCGTGATATTTTTTTTTATCTGAAATATTATTAAATAAATATATATCAAAATAATATACTGACAAGTAATCAAATATATCTTTTGCATAGCTATTTCAAGCTTATATCTTGACACAATTTTCTGTCTCAAAATATTTTAGATTTAGTTGAATTGTCTCTACAGCATAATAATAAACATATAACTTTTGTTTTATCTTTCATGCAGTGCATTTTTACACACAAACCTGTAAATTTCTTAAATTACTTAAGTCTGGTAGGTCATTTTATGGAAAATGAAAAGAAAAAGTTTAGTTTATTAAAACGTACAGTACCTAAATACATTTTATTATTGATATTTAGTTAATAAAAATAATCACTTTCATATACATGTACTAAAATCATCTTTCACAGGTAAAGCATGTAAGTGCCTATGCATAACAGAGTTGGTGTGAGGTAGAACATCCAACTGTAAATTAGTTTTGCATGCTTTTTGAACTTCAGACTTTTCAAAACAAAATAACTGAGTAGTTGTCAGAAGATCTTTCTCTCTCTCCCTCTCTCCTACATTCTGTCATTTCTTCTGTCCTATAACTTTGAATGTTTATTTGTATCTTTATTTTGTCTATGTCTGTTTTTGATTATTTTCTATACAAAATAAATATATTAATAATTCATTGGATTTTATTACTTCATTGATTTATTCAAAGTAAACAAGTTTGTTGTGATGAAGGTTTCACACACAGATTGCCATTGTTACTCTAGGGTTTTCTAATCTGCCAATTTTTATTACTTGTACAATTTATTCATTTATGGATGGCTATGATTAAATTGTCCAGAGTAAATCACTTGCAAATTATATGTGATATTCAGCAAGTGTAACAGATCAAGGGAAGTAACTATGATAGGAATTGCATTTTGTATAGGATTAAGGGAAGTAACTATGATAGGAATTACATTTTGTGTAGGAGTAAGAGAAGTAACTATGATAGGAATTACATTTTGTATAGGATTAAGTTGTGTCCCTTGACATTAAATTTTATTTTGGTGACGATGAAAAATTACTGTATTAGACTGTGTATACTCATATAGTGAAATTTTTTATTTAAGTTTTATCTAACAGTCTAATTTTTATTCTATTAACAATTTTATAATGCCGCTCATGGATAATTTTTTCTTGATAAACAGTTTAATTAAAAAAAAAAGCACTTCTTAAAATGGTTACATTTGAAAGTTAGGTAATTAGCGGACAATTTCCACATGTGAATTAAAATTTTAAGAGTGTAACAAGTGAAATGTTAAGTCTGATGTTCACAAGGATTATTAATGTTCAGGATCAAAGTTCATATTCCAATATATCTCCACATTCATACTCCTTAGAAAGATGAAAAATGGAGTTGAAATGGCTGGAGATAATAAAATCTTGGCATGGCCAACTTTGATCTTAAGAATTACGAACTTGTGTTGTGCACAACATCTCAGTATAAGTAATATTTCTGCCAAAATTTTTTTCATTTCTTTCCATCGGTTCAAAAGATACAGAGCGGACACAAAATTTTGATATTGATACAAAATGACTTGACCTGAGAAAGGTCAAACCTGCACTCTGTACATCGTCTCATTATAGTTAACATTTCTGCCAAGTAACAACTTCCTTCCACCGCTTCAAAAGATAGACTGGACACCAAAAGCTGCTGACAGACGGACGGACATCCTTACAAGTGGACACTTCTTTTGTTTAAAAGTTCCCTATAAGACATTAAAGTACCCAACAATTTTGACAGAATGAATAGAATTTACTATTACCTATTGTTCATGGTAACAAACAGGTATCTTCTCGTTCCCTTGTGCAACCCAATTAAGATAAAGGGCCATTTCTATTGTTGGTTTATACAGAATTTATTTTATTTGATTATGTTGGAAGCTTTAAGCTTATTGACACACTTTCAAAACCATTCCTGGAACCAACCAACACTGAGAAATATGTGTAAAGTTTCTTGCTCAAGGAAACAACAACCTGCCCCTGACGGGGTTTGAACTCATGTGGCTAGCGATCATTAGATTACTAGTCCGACCGTTAACCACTCGGCCATGCTGCCATTTCTATTGTTAATAGAGGGCAATTGGCCCCTTCATCTATTGTTACGGAATAACTATTGTTCTCTTTACAGTTAGATAGCCCTTATCCCTATTCAGTAGTGTGAACAAACGGACGGACAACCAGGTGCATAACAATATATGCAGAAATTCTTTCAGGTGTATAATAAAACAATTTAAAATCTGTTTTTCTGTCTAGTTTATTTCTAAAATAGCATGATTTTACATAAAACGCAAGCAAGTGAACAAGTAGGGTCTAAAATACACATAAGTTTATGTTCCGTTTCATTTTGTTATACAGCATTTACATGTACCCGCTCGGACATATTATAACACCATTTTCACAAAAAAAAAGGTAACCTAAAATATAACAAGCTTTCTCTTACATCTTAACCTCCCCTAAAAATAAGTAATTATCAGCAAAGTTAGAAATGACAAAAAATACAAAATATAAACACCTACATGAATTATGTATAATCATCAAAACATGATATAAATGTCTATAATTATACAATTTCCATCGTCATGATCTAGTCTTTTATCAACCAACAATACAATACAATAAGTTCACATCCATCAAAACTTGGAAGTTTTTAGATGTACATATATTTTTTTCTGACAGATAAATGTTCTTGATCTACTTCTCGTTGATTATAGACTTCAAGTCGTTGAGGAATTTCAAGTAGAGCTTGTACTCGTAAGACGTGGCGAAGTTCACCATATTGTTGATGAAGTCGTCATCGACTCCCCTCTCATCCAACATGTCCATCAATAAGTCATACAGGGTCTGAAATATTTCAACATCGGCAACATTTTACGATTAAGTCAGTATATGTACATGGAACAAGACTTGAAGTTAATAATTTAAAGTGCAAAAAAACAAACTCTGTCAGCTATCATCAAACCATGACCAAATTCGAACTCTACCAATGCATTTTTATGACATATCCATATCTTTAATTTGTTGTTGAATATGTACAACTGTTGGGGAGATAATGAATGTGAACTGAAAATTTCCTTTTTTTCAAAGTTAAAGGGGCATAACTCTGCCAAAAATCATCAAACCATGACCAAATTCGAACTTGACCTGCGCATTCCTTTGACATATCCATATGTAAAATTTGAGTTGAATATGTAACACTGTTTGGGAGATAATGAACAGAAACTGAAAATTTCATATTATTTTCAAAGTGAAAGGGGCATAACTCTGCCAAAAATCATTGAACCATGACCAAATTCGAACATGACCTGCGCATTCCTTTGACGTATCCATACGTCAAATTTGAGTTAAATGTGTTGTACCGTTGGGGAGATAATGAACGAAAACTGAAAATTTCATATTATTTTCAAAGTAAAAGGGGCATAATTGCCAAAAATCATCGAACCATGACCAAATTTGAACTTGACCTGTATTTTCTCATGACATATCCATATGTCAAATTTGAGTTGAATATAATGGCCGGGCATAAAAATCATTAAACAGATTGGTTTATCACTTAAAATTGTGTTAGACACTTAGATAATAAAGCCATAACTACAATGCCTCTGCCACAAGTAGTCTCAGACAGGCCAGGGTGCACACCCATGCAGTCACACCAGGTTCAAAACTTTCATGGCCTTGTGGAATCCTCAAAATTCAATAACAAAATATTTCATAATGAAAGCAGGAATCCATGTTACAAATTTAGTAGAGTAAGGGTTCCTTACCGCATCCATAACTGCTCCACTGTGAGAATAAAACTTGTCTACACCACCAGTTGCCGACTCGTCTATTCTTACTTCAACAATGTTGAATTGATCATCTGAAACAAACCATTCAGTGTAACAATTAATTCAAACATCCATACTGACCAAACAGACCTCTTCAAATTACACAAGATGTGGTTGCGAAATTATACAAACACTCAAATATAAGTTAACCATGAAATTTCAAGAATTCTGAAAATTTGATCAGATACAGTCTACTCCACTTATAACGAGATCGGTTTTAACGAGGTACCGCTTACAACGTACATTATACTGTGTCCCGGCCTTTTTCCTTCTATTTTCCTTTCATTTTTTATTGTTTATAACGAGATTGGTTTTAGCGAGATATCGGTTACAACGTACATAATTTCGCCGTCCCATGCGTATTTTTCAGAATTTTAACGAGGTCACTTCATTTGCACTTCGTCTGCAGCAGTTTCTCACCTTGAGAAAACAATTGATGACCAATAATAAAGGTCAATTAAGGAAAAAAATTATTACGCGGGACAGAAATGGGTCTAACAATTAGCGATCTATGTGTCAGTCTTGTTTTGTTAGCGCTCCGGGCTAAATTGTGTTTAAGGTGACGAAATGTCATAACAAAACAATTTCATCGAGTGATTAGCACAAAGGAAGCGGCTAATTTCTTGCGGTGTTATTCGGTGTTCTTGAGAAATGCACTGCGTGACTTTTGAAAACGAATTTTAAATGTACATATTAATGAAAAAACACACGTGGTAGGACTTAGGTTGTGTTTATATTTTTTCTTTAAATTCTATGATAGCTAGATATATTTATATACATTTATATTTAATTATAAATAAAACAAAAACTTTTGATTGCAAAGAGTTACCTCCCATTATGTACTCTTCAAAAAGAATGCACGCGAAAGCGAAAGTAGAAATAAATGATGCTCGACGGTGTCGGATTTCTCAATTTGTTCTGTCCCGGTTATAACGAGACCCGGTTATAACGAGGAATCATCCGAAGTCCCGACGATCTCTTTATATCCGGAGTGCACTGTATATCAATTTATTAAGTTCTACAGATAATAATTATATAAATATTAAATACTCATTTTTCTAACCTTGCTTTTTATATTTCAGTCTTATTTAAGTAACAAGAGCGATCAGTGATCACATGTGTCCCCTCATGATGGCCAATTTCATGTTGGGACAAGTTTTGTGACAGACAGACGGACAGTGCACAACTAGACTTGGTACTCATCATTCCTGTAAAGTTTGGATAAAATTGCACCAGTAGTTTATGAGGAGTAGTCCAGACAAGCTTTTGTGTATCTGGCAACACACAGAAAAAAAACACCTTTTTATCAAAGGGCCATAACTCGGCCAAAAATCATTCAACCGGAAAACCCGTACAATATGCGCAAGGACTTGAGCTACAGATCAATCCTTAAAATTTCATTGAAATTGCATTAGTGGTATAAGAGAAGTAGTCTGGACAAACTTTAAAAATAAAAATTATTAAAGGGCCATAACTCTGACAAAAATCACTGAACCCGAAAATGCTGACAATATGCACAACTAGACTTGGTACTGATCATTCCTGTAAAGTTTGGATAAAATTGCACCAGTAGTTTATGAGGAGTAGTCCAGACAAGCTTTTGTGTATCTGGTAACACACAGAAAAAAACACCTTTTTATCAAAGGGCCATAACTGGGCCAAAAATCATTCAACCGGAAAACCCGTGCAATATGCGCAAGGACTTGAGCTACAGATCAATCCTGTAAAGTTTCATTGAAATTGCATAAGTGGTATAAGAGAAGTAGTCCGGACAAACTTTAAAAATAAAAATTATTAAAGGGCCATAACTCTGACAAAAATCATTGAACTGGAAAATGCTGACAATATGCACAACTAGACTTGGTACTGATCATTCCTGTAAAGTTTGGATGAAATCGCACCAGTATATTATGAAAAGTAGTCCGGACAAGTTTTGTGACGGACGGACAGACAGACAGACAACGGAGAAGTGATCCCTATATGTCGCCACTACTCCGTCAAGGCGACACAGTAAGACAAGCTAAGCCTTACGCCCAAATTAAATGCAGCTTTTTTGCCTACCCTAATTCTGTTTCAATGAAAAAAAAGTAACAGCAATAATATAATGATAAAGTAATCTTTCTCCAGTGATTCACTTGGAGGATTGCCCGAAAGGAGCCCTTAAAATATTGATTCCTTTTTATCAGATTACCTTTCCACTTACTTGTAGTATTTGATTATAAGATGCACTCGCCACTCTATATTTCTTTGAAATTTGAATCTTATAAACGGAACTGGATGGTACTTACCAATTTTTTCTTGAGGTTCAACTTCCTCAAAATCTGGCTCTTGTGCAGTAAATTCACAGAAAAATCTCAATTTTTTCCCAGATTTCTTTGTGATCTGAACATCAAAAGGTGGCCTTGATACAAGCTGTAAATAAATTGAGAAAAAAAAAGTTACATAACACTTTCAACACTGCTGTCAACGTCTCAGAAAAATTGTCATGACAACCCTGCATACTATATCACATATATCAAATATGCACTATTATCATTATAATTATTATTTATTAGAAACACATATACCATACACACAAGCAAAAACCAAGCCTTAACAGGGCCTTTTCACTCACTTTGGGGAAGGTGCCCTAGCTCTTTTTGTGGAGAAAAAATGCATAATTTAATTTTTTGTTGTTGATAATATCTAGTTAATAAAAGAGCAAAAAAGATTAACTTACAGCTGGTGCTTCCAGATCTGCTCCCTCTGAAAATGGGGCTTCATTATCCACGGTGTCATTCACATCAAACTCTATCTTTATACTACAAAAAATGTAAATGATTACATTATAATAAGGCATAAGCATAATGTTTAGCGCTTTCCCTGCATAAAAAATAAATACCAACTTTCAAGTGACTTTTAAAAAAAGTTTATCAACTTTTAAGTGATTGTGAAAAAGTTTATCGATTTTCAAGTCATAGTGAAAAAGTTAATCAACTTTCCAGTCATTGTCAATGAGGCTGAAATACGTAAAGAGATGGACAATAGTAAACCTGAATGGATAAAAAGCAATCTATTATGCTTTGCTTGAAAAGGAATGGAATTTCAAAATATTTTTCCCCAGTTTTGAGGGCTTCTATTTAGTTAAATTAACCTCTTAGAATCTTGGCTCTTAAATTATGACAGTTGAAAACTTCCAAGATCAGAAACCACAAGCTATATGAGAAACCACAAGCTATAGAGCTAGGAGCAGGCAATAGCTTGCAGTATCAACTAACCCCATTAGAATTTTAAATCCCTTGAGTGGAAAGTGAAATAATTTTGTAACCTTTTCACCTTAATCAAGGATAATCCCTGAATCAAAGATAAATTAACCGTTTCATTTGAAATTCAGTCATTTACATCAGGGACAATTTTACTCAAAGCTTTATCTTACCAATAACAGTATTATTTGGACAGCCGAAGCATACCTCTTTTTTTTCAAGAAACACTCATTTTAGAATTATTATCAAATATATATCGAATTTATTACTGACATTATATCATATTCATACTTACATTTCATCATTAAATTTTTTTGTAAGAATAACACCAGTTCCATCTGTCTTAATGTCCCAGCCGTCAATTGTATCAATAGATGCTTCTGTTTTACTTTCACTTGCAATTTCCTGGTCCAGGAATGATGCCAACTTTTCATCAACTAAAATGCAAGTTCAAAAGTAAGTTTTAAATAAAAAAAAACAACAATGTAGACTAAGAATATGCTGCAGGAGGGGCAGAAAATTGGAGCCGGCACAACCTCAATTGAGTAGAAGTCCAGACCCCTGGCATGTATGTTTATTGGATACCAAGTCCATATTTTGGGGCATGCATTTGATTCATGCTCCCTTCAACAATCAGTTAGTGTGAATATAATTCACCTTAAAATAGTTTGCTTTGAATAGACTTCCCTCTCATGCTGCAGCTACGGTATCTGAGCAGGTGGCACAACAAAAGTCAACAATCATTAAAAGGCTAAAACACTTTTTTATTTAAAGTATATAACACAGCCAAATTCATTCAACCGTAAAATCTGTTAATTACCTTGTTATTCAACAAATGGGTTTTGTCTTTAGTGTCCCCCCCTCCCAAGTAAATCAAATCCAAAAATAACATCACAATTGTAGCAAAAATCACTAATTGACCAAAAGTGTCAGTCAAATAAAGGTCAAGGTCAATGTTTCCATCTACTGTCAGTCATATTGAAATTATAAATGTTGGTGCAATAAAATTTATGCATCAGCGTTATACGAAATTGTTTTCCCTATGTAATAATTATAAATATATACATTTATGCCCGATAGAAATATATAATATAAATAAGTTGCATTAGCATTTTAGATTAAAAGAATATTATTCCGTACACGTTTTTGCAGTCATCTGTTAAGACCTTGTGAAAATGGAAAATATCAGATTAACCTTTTACCCCATGAGCATATTGCGAAAAATGACCGTTTTCATTAAAAAGCCTCCTGTAACAAGTTCAAACTGCTATGAAACTGAAAAATGCTTCAATACTGATGAAACTTGGCACAAATGTTGACTATACCATAGCCTCTGTAACAGCATGCTCAATCGTAAATTTCCTGTTACCATGGCAACGGGAGGACTTCTCAAAATTGCCAAAAATCACTATTTTGCATTGTTTTTTTTCCATCAAAACTGATTTCAAAGTGCTGCAAATTCTCAATGAATTGAGATGGAGTAAAAGGCTTTTCAGCTTCGGTTACTAGTTACCCTAAGATCCACCTGAGGCCATTTTTAGCCTGTCACATGTCCAAAATTTTCTTGGCGATGAGGGGGACTCCGGCCCCCTTCAAACCCCCCAAACAGAAGGGGGCACATCCCCCTTCTGGCAACCCCCTGATTACCAGGTACCAGAATATGCTGCCAAAGTAAATCATTGTTAATCTCAAAGAACTGCATTGCTTCCACTGCTTTGATCTTAATTAATGATGTCATGACTTCAGTTAATAAAATCCACGAAAACTGATGACATTTAAATAGAGGACATCTATGCAAAACCATAATAAATGACGCATTTACCTTCTGTGTGTACTGAACAGCATCCACATACTTTTCCGTGCTTGTAAATATGTTTGCTTCTATTTAAAATGCTTGTGTTGTTTGATGCAATCCATAAATTTCTGCTCAATGACAATGTCAAACCACGTGTGGCAAAATGTGGTGTTAAAGACTTTGCAACAGGCACAGTGGCCGTCTTAGGTGCAATTTGTAAAAACTTTGATGTTAAAGCCAATACTGGCTGCCGTAAAGAGCTTGCCATTGTATACTTAGTAAACAAGGTTGAAATTTAATGATACTAATTAACTTTCAAAATACCGACACTTGCGGAACCGGAAATCACAATTTGTTGAGATACAGTAGGTATCAGAGAACTATTTAAAATCGAAGAAAGTATTTCGCGGAAGGAAAAATAAATGCGGAATCTACTACACGTGCATCCTATGTTAATAGGAAGTGATTTGTTTAAAAGAGGAGTTTCATATCCTTACATGGTGGAAAAAATCTTATGTCTTAACATTTTGTTGTTTATGAATTTTACACTTCAGCCATGACGGCGAAAAGGCTCGTAGGAAAGACGTTATTTAATTAAAGCAATCAACTTGTCTTGTAATTAGTACACGTCAACTAAACATTGCTGCAAATCAAATATACAATATATATAGGCCAGGTCTTGTCCGCTTAAAAGTTTTCATATTTGCTGCGATGGAAATCAGAATTTCGAATGTAATTAAATCATTGAAAATTACTTTGAAATGAACCGGCCAGTACCGTTTCGTTTGGACCAGTTTTTTTAGTGATGTCACTTACGGCAGCTCAACGTGCGAATTAGCGGAAGCTAGCTAACTTGAGTAAACTGCGCCGTTGTCGAGTGGTTAACGTTTCTGACTTCAAATTACTTGCCCCTCACCCCTGGGAGTTTGAACCCCACCACCCAGCAGGCACTCGACGTTGTTTCAACGTTGAAATATGGTCGTGACGTTGTTCAACCAATATTCAACTATGGACGACCATACGGATATATTGCCAATATATATACAACGTTGATTCAACGTTGTTTTTGGTTGAAGTTTTACATTTAGTTTAATAATTATATAAACCTTTATACCACTTATTTTGTGTTATTATTCCTTTATTGAATTAGTCTGTAAGTGATTTTTGCCAGGAAAATTTGCGTTACAATCTTTTTCCGTATATTCAAAATTAGCGCTTAAACAAATAAAGTTGGAAATAATTTTTCACTTTATATTAACGCTTTAAATGTTAGTTAATATGTTTTGTTGTTTATTTTTTAGTTCTTTATGAATAATATTAATTAATAAATTGATATTAGTCAAAACCCCGTTTATAAAATAACGCTGGTCAGGGGAAGTAATTGTTGCGGTCTATGATTTTGTTTGTTGTCTATGATTATCGTTCGTGCAAATGGTGGCGCTGTTTGGAAAATTTGAAAACAACACGATTGGCAATTTATTTGGATTTCGAAGGTATTACCGTAATGTTTTACTTTAGTTTATTGATTATTTTCTAAAATATTATTATTTATTTTTAAAATTCTACTTTAATTTACTTTATGAAATAAATGAGAGATGAAAACACATGATTGAGTTGATTTGACACATTTTCGCGACCTAATAAAATATAATGTATAGGCTAATTGAATGATTTGGGTTCGGTAGGCTTGTAAGCATGAAGTTATTGATGTCCTTGGCAATTTATGATTTTTACAAATCTTGTCTTATTTTAATTTATTTTTCATATTATTAAACATTTGTCTGTACTATATCCTAATTAGAATTTAATCAATTATAAAATTGAAACCTATTAAGTAGTTCGGCCAACATAATTTACGTCCCAAGACAATATATATAAGTATGTCTATGTTTATATTTTAGTGATAGTATAATACAGTGTTAATCCGTTTGAAAGAAATACATTATTATTAAGTTAAATAACAAAGTTGAGTGTTAGACTTTAAAGTTGAATAGTCGTAAATTTATAGGGAATAATAAATGATTTTAATCTATTTCTTTTTTATTATATATTATTTTATATTCTAGATCCTGGTCCTGGCTGAGATTTAGAGTATTGCAGCTGTAGTCTGTATACCATAAACTCAACATGAAAAGGACTGTCAGGTTTGTAAAATTGAAATTAATTCTTATTACTGTCAGGTTTGTTAAATTGAAATTAATTCTTATTAATTTATATATATTCGAATTTATTTACAATACAAAGTATAAATTTTTCAATTACTGGATATTTTTCTTGTCTTAAAATATATTATTTTCTGAATATTCCTGTAACATGATTAATATAAAATTTACATGTTTGTTGATTTCAGGATGCTGCATAAAATGGTCTAAGCTAGAGCCTAGAATGTTAATTTCTTGGGAATATGCTGCAAGGAACTGACGGGGAGCAGTTTTCCTTACCAATCATAGGTGAGACTTTTAAATAGCTTCTTTTTAAAAAGATTTTGTTGTCTTATATACAGTATTTGCTGTCAATATGAAACTTAGCTATGTTTCAATTTCTATGCTGTTTTATGATGTAAATCATAGAGAAAAGCATTTTAAGATAAAAACAAATCACTAAATTGAGTAATTATATGTATAATTTTAGATTGACCAAGTCAACAACTTCTTATTTTTATTTGCAGCAGCAGTAAGAGACAGCCAAAGAAGTACTCAAACACCTGACATACCCAGAAAGATCTAGAAGAAAAGATTGGAACAGATTGTAGCTTAATTGTTAAAACTATTAAAGTGAATTTAAGCTGCACTTGAACTGTATTTTTTAAATAAAATATCTGAAGTATTTAATATTGTCTTGATATTTTGTTAAACTTGGTAACTATGCTTTATATCCAAAAATTAAAGTATGGTGGGTTTTCAACGTTGAAATGACATTGAAACTTCAACGTTGTACCAACGTTGAAGCTGCAACGTTGTATCAACGTTGAAATTTCAACGTTGTTTCAACTTTCAAATCCGAATATAAATCCAACCTTATTTCAACGTTGAAATCTGACCATAATTCAACGTTGAAACAACGTTGATGTGCCTGCTGGGCAGGGACTTTGCATGGATTTTGCCATGTAAGGAAGCTATCAGGCTAGTTTACTGAGGGTCGGTGGTTCTACTCAGGTGCCCACTCGTGCCGGAAATAATATACGAAGTGGCACCCAAAGACTTCCTTCACCAGTAAAGCTAGGAAATCGTCAGTATATGACATATACAGTGTACGTTGATGTTACTTTAAATTCATAAACGCTAGCCGACCCCATTTGCAATGCAGGAAAGAATTTAAGTTGTCATTTTCATCGGAAATCTATGAACTATAAATTTAAATATCTATTAGATCTACCTTTTAATTTTAGTTTTTATTGTATAGGAAAACAGCAAGATAGTGCGAGTTTGTTAATTCTATTTTAATAATAAACAAGGAACAGTAAATTCGGACTTATTAAACCAATTGCCTTTTGGGCCCGCGATTTATATACGCACGAGTTCGTGCTTTTGCAGTTGTTAATGCAGAGAGAGAGAGAAAGTTCGTGTTTTTATTGTTAGCTGCTCGACTAGTGCGAAATTGTTCATTCTATTTTAATAATGGACCAGGAACAGTTAATTCTTATTAAACCAATTGCCTTCGGAATAGGCACGAGTTCGTGCTTCTGCAGTTTTAATGCACAAAAAAGGTTCATTAACATTGTACATATTGGATGCTCGACTCTAAAATTAATTAATTGACGAAATTTCTTGAATTTTACAGAAGCAATCAGTACCTGGAATTTCTTCACTTGTCTTAAAGGATCTTAAATCATTAGCATTCGAGAAACAAATGTATTTTCTCCCCTGACTGCTTCACACCAATGACGCGAAAACATCCGGATAGAGCATCTTTGTAACATGTAAATACGATTATTAAAGCTTCATGCGTGATCGATTGATATTGGTTGCAAATTCAAAATAGGCCATAATTCTGTCAAAATTCTAGCTGCAAAACTTTCAGTTAGTTCAAAAAGGGCCATTATTCAGTCAAAATCCTTTCCCTTAGATAGTGAACTTCAGTTATGGTCACATAGACAGTATGCAAAGGATTCATGTTACAATTAATGTAGTAGTTTGGAAGATTGGTGTTGCATGTACATGTAAAATCTTTAACCCATTCCCTTCATATCATTAGTTTTAGAAGTAAACTTGCAATGTGATGGTGACGCTGCTGGAGTACAATATATAGCTCTACATTATTCTTCGAATGTCAAGCTAACAAGAGGGCAATCACGTCACTGGATCACTCACCCGAGATACATAGCTTTTATTTTTCAATGCTTAAACCATATATAATTACACTGTGTATATCCACTAACGAAGGACTATTACAAAAGTAAGTAACCCCAATATGATTAGTTTCTTAACATAGGTTAGATTAAAATACTTTATCCCTTCTACTGGGGAAATAATATAAATTTTAGTAAACCACTGTTACTATCTAAACTCTTAAGTACTGTTCCTCCAAAAGAGCAAGACGGCCATATTTAGCTCCAGTAACCTACTTATGCATCAGCAAAGAACCTTTCAAAATTATATTACTTTTATAGTGGGTCATTACAGTGAAGTTTGGTCAAAATCCCCCTCAAATGTGGTAAAGATATTTTGAACAACGATGAACATCATCCAATCACAAGATTGGCTCGTTCTTAGTTACATAATAAATGCTTTCTTACATTTAGCACCTTCAATCAAATTTTTGTCTTATGAATTCCTTAAAATAGCTTTATTCATTTAGGATCATTGGAATATCCTTCGAGACAAGGCTGTACAACAAGCTCGAGAATAAAATTATGTTGACCATCTAATCCAAGAATTGTCTTTCAGAACTAAAACATCTCAAATATAAGAAGTAACAAACAGCACTGTTTAATGTATTTTATTTATAGTACATTTTTACTTCTGAAAAATAAAGGGTGATAATTATAATCATTGAATTTGCCTAGGCTATCCAGTATATAGTCATTTTAAAATGACGAATTACTATTATTTTATTAATATCATATTAAATTTTGTGATTTCCCCTTCAATTTGAGGATCAACTTCACTACTCAGTTATACTGTACGATCAGTTTAAGCCTTCAACCAATAACCATTACCACCCTATAAATGGACTATTCCATCAAAACCATCCTTTTTCTGGGAAATTTTCAAATGATGTACAAACTTAATGGCTCACAGTGCAGACCATGATCAGATTGCATGGATATGCCAGGTGATCTTGATTTGCACTGATCACAAGGGTAGAATCTGTTGCTGCCAGCAGGCTTAGATTTATGTAAATTTTTTTACCCCTCTTCCTGAATTGAAAATAGTAAAACATTAGGTAGGGGATCAAGTATTTAATGTAGGCCAGTCAAAAGATTGTCATCCAAATATTTACTGGGGGACCATTTATACTTACAATTAGAACAGGAATCCTTAATCCTTTATATTACCTCCAAAAACTTTAGAAAAAGATCCAATTTTCCCTTCATATAGAAGAAAAGATCCAATTTTCCCTCCATATAGAAGAAAAGATCCAAATTTCCCTCCATAAAGAAGACACACTTATCCAAGATAGGGGCAAAGTTTTCCTAGATCAAGTTGAAAAAGCTATATGTATCATTGTATATTTACTCCTTTTATTCCAGATTTTAGATCCATTGGAATCTTATTTCCTTATCCTGAGAACCTTTTCCATGACTTTTATCCTGCATAGAAATGGGGCTTCCTCTGAGATTACAAAGGGCAGCAAATTCCATTCCTTCCTTTTTTCCAGGCCTAACACATTTATATCAACTTATCCTCTGCCTTTAACAATCAACTCCTGTAGTACAAATTTCCTGAAGACAGTATTTACATACTTACCAAATTAATTCAATATTTTTATAAATAATTGGAAAAAAAAATTAAAGAGAAAAAACAATATAATTCAGCCCATTTGAAATTTCAAGATGAAAGTAACTTTGTAATCCAATTCCCAAAGCTCTGTTCCTTACAGGACTGCCAATATTTCTTTATCCAAGACAAACAGGGCCGAGAGGAGAAAAATCATGGAAAAAAATATCCTAAATCCTGACAGATCCAAGTAAATCCTTTAATCCATCCTTAAGCATGGAGCTCAAACCCCTACATGGAGCTCCCTTAAATCCTTATCAGCTCCTTTCCTAGCTAGCTGGCTCCTGAACGGATCCTTATCCTGAATCCAAGAGCCCTTTAATATAAACAACAATGCATCGTTATTAAAATAGACAATACTCAAAACACATACATACAAAACATTGTGTAAATACATAGATTACTAGTCTAACACTGTGTGATTCACAAATGATTAAAATAAAAAATTAACTTCAAATTTTGATTCTTTTTTGATACACCAACTAAAAATTTAAAATTCAAAAAGTGTAATTTCTGAATCACACAGGTGTATGTATCAATACTGTATCTGTCAAATAGCACAAGACATGTATGTACACTGCAGATTAAAAATCAAATTCATATTCAAAATGTCAAATTTGGACGACAAAAAAAATTAGGTTACTCTATCATCTGGAAATTTGTAAACAGCTCTAGCTCATAGTCCTCTTAAAAAGTTCTCATTTTGCATTAAAACTACAGCCTGTAGCATGTTATTTTGTCACTGTCATTATACATGCAATAACATTCACACATACTGTAAAAGAACATTTTTTTATAACAAACGCCGTTATTACCGATTAAATACATCCAAGTTTTTTTATCGTTCTCATCAGTCTGAAGTCTTGACTGCCTGTTTCACTTTAATAGCTCACCCTAACTCTTTAATCTGATCTTCTGAAAATGGATGAATTTTAGCATTAACCTAATTTCTTAATTGTCATCATATTTTACTTTGTTTTTGCTTTTACAGTTTTGAACAGTTATCAATAAAATATGGCATCTTTCTTTTACTGTCAAACCAAATCATTTTTAGCTTGAGGGGAAAAATGGAAATTTTCAAAAATTCTGATTTTTGGCTTTCAAAATGACATTTTGAGACATATAAACATGAAAATGAATGCAACATTCAGATGTATATGTAAATATTGAAATGACTGAACTAGTAATGACCATATGATGCCATACTTATGTGGTTTATAATGAAAAAAAAAATTGTGTATACAAGTTAAAACATGTTGATTCTGTGGATTAATGAATTGTGTGATGAAAATGGCGTGTGTAAGTTTTGATTAAAGAATCAGTATGGTGATCGAGAGCGGGATCTCATCGGCGAGTATCTAGGTGAACCACGTGATCTTCTAGGAGGTGACATGCTCCTGCTTCGCGACCGTGACTGGTAACTGCTGCTGCCATACCTGCCGCCAGAATCTTCCTTTACCCTGATATACGAGGTCTCACCCTGAAAATAAAACATGCCAATCTTATGGACTGATGATGTATTAACATAAAAATGTTGGGAAAACAATGACCTACATGTTTGTTTTTGTTGGATTTTAAGGGTCATCTGGAAACCTTCCAGTTTTACTAATCGAAGAAGACCTCATGTGCCCCCCCCCCCCACCCCTTCATGCATTATTTCAAGTCAGGCAAGACTGCACACTGGACTATAACCACTAGCCTTTGATAAGCTAGCTTGACGGCTTCCTTACATGAAAGAATCTTAGTCCCTGAAACCTTAAAACCTACGTGGTGAGGAGCTAGTGATTTGAAGTCAATAATCTTAACAGCTTGGCAAAGGAGGCCCTCAACATTGAATTAAAGATGTCTGTTTTATAAATAGCATGAAACAATGAATACTTAGCTAGTTCTTAGAACTGTACATGGTACATCCTCTTCAATTATTTTAGTGGAATATAACTTTAATTCAAGCAACAGCTAATGCAGGTACACTAATACTAAGAGGAAAACCTATATTCTTTTAACCATTACATTTATCTTGATTAATATGTCATGAACATCTGCAAAATATAAGTGTTTACCTCATGTGATCTGAATTTAGAATCATCTAATTTTCTGCATGCATATTTCATGTCTTCTTTTCTCAGGAACTCACAGACACCAGTACCATCTTTATAAACATCAGCATAGCAGACATCTCCAGCCTCTCTCATGTGATCCTTCAAGTCTTGCCAACTTCCTGTTGGAGGCAAACCTTTAAAACAAATTAAAATTAGTTCACTCGTACCTTAAGACAATACATATTGAATAGTGTTGCAAACTGTCATGTTCTATTAGTGTTTATTTCACTTTACATTTATCTAGCAAATCTGCTGAATTATTCTTCCTCTTGAACATTTAAGAAATAGAATTTTTCACTCAGATCAGGAACTTTTAACCAAATATAAGCTGACTGTATGACAGTGTGCTTGACAGTAAGGGGAATAACTCTGTAAAGAGTACCACAGTCTTTTGACCTGTGTTACAAGTATGTAAAGTTTCAACCAATTTATTTCTGCAATTTTGGATATATCAAAATCTAAATGAAAGTGTGACAGTAGTATCAATGCAAGAGTGTGTACAATAGCTCTCCAATTCTAAAACTGAAAATCATATAAATAAATTTACCTGAAACAAGAACTCTATATTCTGATCTTCTTGATGGTGGACCTCCTCTCCCACCACCACCACCACCGCCTCCTCTACCACCACTAAAGCCTCCACCATATCCACCTCGGCCTCCTCTGAAGCCACCCCCACCACCACCACCACCGCCGCCACCAAAGTCACGGTCACCACCAGGACCACCTGGCCCAGAGCCTCGTGGAAATTCTACCCTAAGTGTGTACCCATCATAATTATAACCGTCTCGGTCCGTTACTGCATCTACAGCATCTCTGTAAATAAAACAAAATACAAAATTGGAAGAAAGGAAACTATATAACAAAATTATTAATTGCAGTCAGGAACAAAGGAATTTTCCATTCAATGTTCTGTTCAAGGTCCAAGAGTTGAACTCTAGCGCAAAGTACGAGTCTATAACAGCAATTTGTATATTGGCTGAAAATGGAAATTAATGAAATATAAAGATTCAAACATTAATTTTAGGTTGTGTCAGTTTAATTGTATATATCAGAGACATAGATAACATATATCTATGTCTCTGTATATACTTAGTAGGGACAGTTTAATAAAAAATTTAAAAGCTAATTCTCTTTTACTTTTGTTCCGGACAGCTGCCTGAAAATAATTCAATGCATAAAAATACGCTGCAGAATTGTATTAATGGATTGTGATCATAGCCAAGGGATATAAAAAAGTCGCATTTAAATGACTAAACACCACTGAGAAGGAATATCATATCTTAATCATCACCTTGTATAAATGATTTTCATTGAAACAAGGAAGCTTTTTGTCTATTTTAATTCAAAATTTTCGGCTATTTTGAAGTAATCAAATTTTGGCTCCAGAACTTTTAATTAATCAATCAATCTAATGCAATTCAATCAACTAAATGTTTACAAACAATTTTCAATACAATAATTTCAGACCCATTACCTATGATCTTCAAATTCAACAAAAGCAAACGGTGGTCCCCTTCGTGTTTTCAAATCGACAAACGTGATTTTGCCAAACTTATAAAATAAATCTTCAATATCTCTAGCTCTTATATCAGGGGGAAGATTGCCAACATAAATTCTATTATCTGTAGGTGGCATTATTGGGTTAAAACGATTTTTGTAATGGCAACGTTGTCTTCACTAATGGCGTCGGTTTTTCAATCTCACTGAACTATTTACAAAAAACGCGAGCGTCTGATTCACATTTTGCGAACAGATAGACAATTCGCGAAATGTGGAATATTGATAATGGAATGACAGACTATTCTCTCCCTTTCCAGTTCCTGCCCCTGACGGTTCTCTCCCTAACCATTTCCTACCCTGACGATTCTCTCCCAAAATTGAAATATGCAGACAGTTCTCCCCCAATTTTTATTTTATAAGTTATTTTTTTTTGTTTTGACTTAATCTAGTTATATTTCTTAATGAATATTATTAAAATAATGTGTTTGATATTAAGTGCATTTTATGTTTTGTTTATCTGAATTTAGTGCTTGTAAATTTTACACATTTTTTTCAGGTATTTTAATCCTATCAACACCTTCATTGTGAGAGATTAAGATTATTGGACAGTGATTGATTTATCATGTCATTACATTGATTTCTGTTGATAAAGTGCATGCCTGATAAACCTAGCTTTATCAGTCACCCCAAGCTTTATCAGACACCTCATCAAAAATATGCAAAATTTGCGAAATGAAATAAAAAGAATGGAATATATTTTCCTGCTACTGGGTTGGAAATATTTAACTGATAAACTTTGAATCGAATATAAATTTTGAATATGAACGCGTCACTTACAATTAACTAAAACATTCGGGACTATTTCTTTTTGATTTGGCATTTCACATATTATTGCGCGCCGTCTGAACACGAGAGGTTCTGGATAGGGTTTTGCTTCAATTAAAATAAAAAAATTCAAACAACAATTGAAATTGAAAACATGATAAATAGAATACCAAACAAGTGTCTAATATTATAAAATTTATCAGGCTCGGCACGAAAAAAAAAGGAGAGCTCGGCACAGCCTCGCCCTTCTTTTTTTTTCTTAGCCTTGCCTGATAAATTTTATGATATCAGACACTAGCATGGTATTCTCTATATATACACCTGTAATTATGTTAATGAATGTCTATTGATATTCATTAATGTGTTTAAATAGCACATATAGGGTGGTAACAAATTTTTAGAAAATAAATAAGCAACAACTGGTATGCAATCACATTTACTTTTATACAAAATTTCTGAAAGAACAGGTAGTCATTAACATGAAACAATATAATATATTACCAAATAAAGAGTTAAAATCAGCTCTGTTGGATTTTTTTCTTCTGAGATCTTAAATATTTTCAATCACAAAAATATGACTTGGAGTAAAGAATTAATGAAGTTTTAATAAATTTTATTGAAATTAATTAAAAGGAAACTAAAATATCTTAATTAAGTTAGACTTTTTTATTTATATGAATAAAAGATAATATAATTGAAATAGAATAAATATGAAATTAAAAATTAATATGAATTTATGCTTTGTGTTATTAATTTCATGAATTGTAAATTTTTCTTTTTAAAGCTCATTAATGTTATGGATGATCATATCACAAAAATGTAAATTATATCAAAATTATTAAAAAAGATAATTTAATTCTAATACAAAAAAACAATGTCTGTTATATTAAACTGTCACAGAAAGCCACATTAACTTCATGTCACTCCTCTTAATAGTTTTAACAGAAAGCCACATTAACTTCAGGTCACTCCTCTTAATAGTTTTTACTCATCACTTCACATTATTTCAACCTGAACTGTTTATTCTTCAGACTGAGGGCCATATACCGAGGCACAGCCTTCAAGCAATTCACTGGTCTGAATATTCCCTGCAGAATAGTTCTTCCAAAGCTCCCTTATCTTTTCCCCAATCTTGCGTGCTGCTGGACGAACACGACGCGTAGAGATACCATCTCTAAGGTGACGCAACTCATATGACACTTCTTCAGCCTCACACTGTAAGACAGGTACCAGTCTGTAAAATGACAAGCTCAAACCACCAGCCTTTCGGTTCAATTTGTTGTGCCACCCTGAAAATATTATACCATGGAAACATGAAGTAAATGTTTACATTATACAATATTCCACACTATTTATATGCAAGTCGACAATGTTCGATCATAACAATAATCTTCATCAGAACATTTTGTTTTTTTTTAAATTAATGCCAGTTATTTTTAAACTCATGTGTGTCAAGTGCATTTATTTATTTATTTATTTATGTAGAAGTTCATTGTAAAAATATTTTCACAAAATAATTACCTTCACAATCGTTGTTGGTGCGAATGGTAAGACCATACACAGACCATGACTCAATGGTGAAGATTGGGTGGTTCATCCACTGATGTTCCATATAGGAGACGAGGTTATGTAGAGGTTCACTGATTGCTCTTGATGACAATTCTTGGAATGCTGGCTCAATATGTGTGTATGGGAGAAATGGAAGTCACAGGAGCTGACGGATATAGTTGTAGATGGTAGCCCGGCGAGAGTATGCTGGCTTCAGTCCCACTTCTTGGACCTTGCGCCACACAGCCTGTGTAAAATGGAAGACACAACCTTTCACTGTGGCACCAGGAAATACCTGTCTTACTGCTAACCAGGCAGCTGAAAAAAATATGTGTATGAATATACAAAATTCTATATATTGTTAAATGACATGTAAACTTTATTTTTAATCAAATAATAACACATAGTGTAATACACAATATTTTATAAATTATAAATTTATATGTATTCATCGATTTTTTTTCCATTTTTCAATGAGGAAGCTGATAAAGACTCATATTGATATATTTATAAATTTTTCTAATGGTTTGTCAATGGCATTTGAAACATATTTAGAAATATTATTTTGCTTACCTTGCTCAAAATCCATCACAAAGCTTTCAACACTGACTTGTTCAAGTGACTGCTTTAGAGACGTCAGCACTTTCACATAGTCTTCTGTTCTTCTCCTCGACATGAGTATGAAAGCCATTGGACCTTGCTTTTCCAAACCCTCATTATTCTTCACAAAACCATGGATGGATTCGAGTTGATCTGAAGTGAAGGGATCCCCAACAACACGGAAAGTTCCATCCATAAATCAGCGTTTGCATGTGCTGAGTAGGTCTAGTTGTTCCTTAGTAGCAAACACTAAGTGGCGCGCTGTTCCATTCTTTATATCAGCCACCAAAAATTCTGGACACTTAAGGAAGTCCATATCAACCACAAAGTCTAGGTCTTTAGTTTCAGCTGGGCGAAATTTTTCTCTATACCGGTTGGCTTGTCTGGCTAGGCTGTTGGCGATTGGAACACCAGGTTGGTTTGATTGAATATACTCCTTTCGCGCATTCTTACTTATCTCAATGGTACTTTTGAAAGGTTGTTCTCTAGCTTCCTTGCGCACTTTACAGAAACACTAACCCTGTCTTTAAGAGAAGGCTCAGGCCCATGCTGGTGAGAGTTATTACCCCTTACAAAATCACTTCCCTTCTGAACCACACTGGCATAGCACTTGCACGTAAAACTACGACTTGAACAAAACCACAGAACTGAGTTCTTTCCTCGTTTCTTCGCATAGTACCTTTATCCATCAGATGCCACTAGTAAAGGCTTACCTCGTTTGCTGCCTTCTTCAAACACTGTGAATTCAACCCGAGGCTCTTCAACCAATGTTTGTGATAAAGGTTCCTCAACATTTGCTGTTACACTTGTGTCAGCTTGATCAATAATCTGCTGGTCTCTTACATTGAAAGGTAAAGTCATCCTAGAATTTTGTGTCTCTTCCATCCTATCAAGTGTAGAATCATTGGAAGGTTCAGAAGAAGTGTCCATATCTTCAGACAGGAGGGATGTCTGAACAATGAAAGTTGCACCATGTCGATCTGTGGTAGGATTGGTTCGCTCACATCGCTGACATTTAAAAGGTATATCACTACCACACTTTACAGCAGCCCTGTATTGCTCTAGTGTGATACCTGTAATATTAACATATTTAATGGGGGTATCTTAGGTCACAGACATTTCGGACCAGACCCATCAGACATTTTCAGACTTTTAAGGAATTCATTTTTATTAATTTTTTTATGGTATTCTGTTAAAAGATATTAAAAAGAAATGAATTTGAAAAAATGCCCGTAGTAAAATTAGGTAGCAAGACATTTCAACCTCCAGACACTTCACCCCTCAAATTTTGAAGACACTTCACCCCCACCCCCTCCAAATCAGTAAGACACTTCACTCCTCATAAAAAAACCCACATTTTTATAAACGTCCATAAATTCACCCACTTTCTTCAAGAATTCCTCAGTCCTTAATTCATGATTATTATCATGGTATTGCAAACTTTTATACAAAGCACTTTTATCCGTTAACTCATATACATGTGAACATTTTTTGATGATAAAGTGGGAGATTTTACTTCAAAATGAGGAAGATTTTAGAATTTGCAATAAACAAAGAAGGAAGTTCTGACATCAAAAGTAGGGAGATTTCTTCACATGTATGGAACTGTTTATTGCATGTCACCTTGTTTATTCAACATGTTGATTGGGTGTCTGAGGGATAAAATGTCTGCAAAAAAGGACCTAGGGTGAAGTATCTGCGGGGTGAAATGTCTGTAAATCGTAAAATTACAGGTATCTTTTTAAATTGATGTTATACATATACTATATTATAGGGATAACAATCATAATAAACACTTTATTTCATGAAGGTAACATATTAAGAAATACATGTCTTAACTATAAAAGACCTTCAATTAAACAAGGTAAAGAAACCCACAAATATGTACACACATATAAAATATAAACAACAAACTTTTAAATCGACAAACACATGCTTTTTACCTCTATCATTTAAATTGCATATCAAGTAAATATTTTTTCACATCTTTTAATAACATATACTGGTTTCCTAGCAGATTCCAGCCCTTGCAGTTTTCCAGCCCTTTGTCATTTTCATCCTGTATAGTCTATTTTTAACAACAGGGCAGCTCTAGCTATTACTTCATCAAATTAGAGAGACCTTTGTTTTCTGTGCAACACAGCAGTTGAAATAGTACAGCGATTTATATGTTTTGAAGTTTCTTTTTGTTGTTTAACCCTTTACCGCATGAGCATATTGTTAAAAATGGTCGTTTTCATTGAAAAGCCTCCTGCTACAAGTTCAAACTGCTATGAAACTATGAAAAATGCTTCACTACTGATGAAACGTGGCAGAAATGTTGACTGGACCATAGCCTCTGTAACAACATGCTCACTCATTAATTTCCTGTTACCATGGCAACGGGGGACGTCTCAAAGGTGCCAAAAATTACTTATTTTACATTGTTTTTTCCCATCAAAATTGATTTCAAAGTGCTCCAACTTCTCAATGGATTGAGATAGAGTAAAAGGCTTTTCATCGTAAGGTTACACGTTACCTTGCGATCGACCTGAGACCATTTTTAGCCTGTCACATTCCAAAATTTTCTTGGCGTCCCCTTCAAACCCCCGAAACAGAAGGGGGCATATCCCCTTTCTGGTAACCCCTTGATGTACCTTCCCTATGATAGGGGGCGGCGCCGAAAAGGAAGGTGATAACCTTTTTTATCAACATTTCTCAAACGAAAACATGTGTTTGGGGCCCAAGCAGGACATTTTTTCACTATTTGAGGTGATCGAAAGTGCGTTGTTTTGCGTATATATGAGGTAAAGGGTTTAAGCTACCTAAGAGAACTCGCGATATTAAAAAAAAGAACATCTGGGGAATTCTAGTTTGAATGAACATGCGCAATAACTGAGGCCCCATTCCAGGTGAATCAATACTTTGGAATAATATATTTGCAGACGACACAGAAAAGTTAGGAAACTAGTAGAGACCAGTTTTTTTTTATTAATATATGTAGAGCTTTATAAGCCATCAATAATGATATTGTTGCTTGTAAGCTAATTTTGTGATCTTAAATCCTATGTGGTATCATAACCACTAATCAGTCTTTTATCAGATGTTTCTAGCATTGCTTACTAGTTTACTACACATAATGTAATATGTAGTCGATTCTATATATAAGCTAGTAAGAGTTTATATTGTATTGTTCTTAACCTTGTCGACTTGATATCATATCTGTAGGCAACCAAGAGAGCCATCAAACCCCAGCATAACTTGTATAAAGGAAATCTTAGACAACACTACACATGTCTGAACTGAAGTCAGGTAGATCTTTATTTAATTATCATTGGAATTTTGGAGAGAAAAATAAATAAATAAATAAATAAATAAATAAATAAATAAATAAATAAATAAATAAAAATTATCTTTTCGGGTATATCGATGTTCCTTTTCCTTTTCCGGGTATTGGAAAATCCGAAAAGTTACATATTAATTTATTTAAACGAAATATTTAAATACAAAATCTAAATAAAATCAATTAATGTCCGACTAGTTTTTTTGTAGAATATATCTTGTCATCAGTTTAAAAATTCAATAAACGTGTTGAACATACAAAATATTTTTCATTTTCATTTAAACTGAAATTATTTCGTTTGAGATTTTGCTTAGATGCAGTTAGCGTCAAAATGGAGTCGTTTGTTGACAACCATATTTAATTAAGACGATTTTAGGAAAATAAACAATTCTGAGAGTAGCCAAGACCATGGCAGTGGACCAGCAGTCATTACCAGCATTTAATGCATTTGAAAAACAACTAAAAACACTTTGTCTAAGAGAATTTCCATGTGGCCCGGGTACATGGGTATGAATTTTTTCAGTTGTAAAACATTTGTAAAACTTGTGTTTATTGTTTGATTTTATAAACCTGTCAGTTGCATACTGATTACACGGTGAATGTAATATATGAATACACAATATGTGAATCTTCGATAGATTTTGGTTATGTTCACTGAATCAGTGAGATGTATGGAGTAAGATGTGCTTTTAATTTGTTTGTTTGTTTGATTGAGTTTTACGTCACAGTGGTACAGTGTAGATCATATGGCGACACTCCAGCTTTATTGGTGGAGGAGGACCTCAGGTGCTCTTCGGTGCATTATTTCAGGCATGAACGGGCAGCTGAGTAAAATCACTGACGTTCCGTAACTTGAGATATTTGCGAGTATACTCCTTGCGGAGTGATGCAATTACTTGAGATGATGATGATGACACTGATCATTATAGCGCAATAGGATAAATTACGGGTTTATTATTTCTAAATGTCCTACGTGTTGTAAGATCGATACTGTGTTGGTCCATGTTTTATTCTTATTTATATTTTGAACATTATTGAAACTCACTGTGATTGTTTGTATGTTTCACACTTATTTTGGTAAAGTCTATTCTCTCTTTAAAAAAATATGGTTTAATTAATAATTAATATTTAGAATTTATTTGGATTGAAATCAATAAATGTCATTTCAGTGCCTTAAAACAAAAAATGAGACAAAACAGTGTTTCTAAGTAATGCCCAATATCTGTGTAGACATTTTTTGCCAAAAAAAAAACAACAGTCATTTCCATTAAGATAAACTGCCAAAAAAAATGAAGAGTAGCATACTTAAATTCTCCGAATATTTTTTGATCCGAGGGTTAATGACTTTCCATTAAAATAGTTGAATTGTCATTTCTGTATGTGTTGAGAAAATAGATGGATACAGTAAATTAAAACTATGATATGGATTAATATGAAAAATTGGTCCTATTGGTGTTATTTAAAAAACAGAAAAGTGCAGAGAATATGCTACAAACATTATGATGACATTTGAATGTTTTGATGTGTACATATTATTGCCATTATTCTCATTTTGGATGGTTAAATAAAAGAAACATTTGATACTCACTGTATAGGAACATGTATTTGAATATTTCTTCACCTGAAGATAAACTAAATTATTTTATACCTATAAATTTTCTCCCTAAAATACACGCAAATTTTGAAGCGCAAATACCCTTCAACGGATAGAAATTTCCGTATTATGTAAGTGACAAATACGGTACCATATATGGAAGTGTCGAACTATTTTTGACGTTGGTTCCTATCTTAGCTTTGTGTGATGTTACATTTGGAAACGGGAACCAAAATTATTAAAGGCTTGGCCGGTTTTCCAAGATTTACGTATTGATCCGTCAGTCATGAATTTATTTCTTATCAACTACATCTAATTTTCTGAATAAAACAAAAGGTATATAATAAAAGGAAAATTATGTTGTAGTAACTTTCTGAGGCTCTGTATTTTGCTACGAGCAGCAGTGGAAAATTGATATCTTGCGAGACTAAATTATTGTTATTATGTTATTTGTATTTTAGAGGGAAGCTCCTCCAGGAAAACTTAAAACAGTAAAAGGGACTTCATCAACAATAAAGACCTCTTCAAAAGTTGATGGAAAATACTCAATAACCCTCAAAGGTAAAAATGATTTATGACTATTTTTTACTGGCTGTAATATGCTTTTTTAAAATTAATGATTCAAGTTAAAAGTACATTTTTTAAGCGTTTTAAAGGTAAATTTATACATATATGTCAAGTGAACAGATTATAAAGTTTATGATTTAAGCTGGCAGAAGGGACTTAATTATAAACCATATAAATAACCTAACATTTGTCAAAATGATTGAAAAATAGCCCTTTTAAAGTTTTTTCTAGAATACAAAATGTATATAATATAATACAGTTATTGGATATTATAATTAAAAAGTGACATGGTGTGGATTCATCACAATTTTACAATTATAAAGTATACATATTCTACAATTTTGGATATTTTAATCTTAATACTTACAGTTACTCAAAACATGCTCATAAAAGTTTTATCTTTTTGAAACTTTATACGCTAATCTCAAGAGGCATTCTATTAGCTTTGAATGAAATAAAAAGCATACCTGTGTTTAAGTAACTGTGTATTTTTATGATTTATATAGATTATGGTGCACAACATGAGAAAACTGAGACTCTAGAGGAGTATGTGGCTCAGCTAAATCACCCTGGTACTTGGACTACAGCTGGTCACAAGAAGCTAAGAATCTGCGAGAAATTTCTGTCAAGTCACCATGGCTCATAGATGACAATTTTGTATTAAGTTACTTTAAAACACTGAGGATTGTGGGTAAAAATGTATGTATAATATAAAGGTAGACTTTACAGTGATTTTCTATGAATTTTTATCCTGTTTCACTGTATGGCTAAGTGGTAGAGATCGCTGAATGACTTTTAACATTGAGGATTGTTGGAAAAAATGTATGTATAATATATAGATAGACTTATGGATTTTTATCTGGTTCCCCCATGGCTAAATGGTAAAGATTGCTGACTTTAAGTCACTTGCCACTCAATATCACTGTAGGTAAATTGAATCTCATCAGGGACATGCGAGGAAGCTATCCTGAGCTTGCTTATGGAGGGTCAGTGCATGCAGGCACACCTGAAAACTTTCCCCACCAGAACAAATATTACCTGTAGATCTGAAATCATTTCTTCTTTTTCAATATTTTGATATAGACTAACTTTATTGTTTGAATGAGAAATATTATGTTTCACTGTGTATGATTTTTAACTGTTAGTGTTTTCTTCTCTTGTAGGTTACATACATAGACTCCAACTTACTCAAGTTTAAGAATCTTGAAGAGCTTACACTAAGTTGTAACCTCATATCTGATATAGATTCCAGAAATTTGCCACCTAATCTTAAGGTATGTCTTTCATATATTTTCTCAGATCAAGATTTATTAACATACATGTATGTTTTAATTACATATCAGTAAGGAACTCTTGTTACTTGTAGTCATTTTCCAATTTCCATGGACTCGACTCTGTTCTAATGTTTAATTGCTTATCTGTTTTATATCATACATGAACGGGGCTTCATCATGGAAATTTAATACATCTGATCTGGTAATTCTGTGTTTTATTTGTTTTTTGTTTTTTTTTTTGTATAAAGAAAACAGTTCCTTAAGGCATTGAACGCACAGGCAAGATGTTTTGACAATAAATTACCAGGGCTGCCTTTGCAGACAGCTCTTTCTATATGTTGCCCTGAGTCACACATATTAAAAACAGGCAACAATGACGTGCTACTGTGATTTTATCAGTTAATGTTATTAATGTACACCTGTTTTGGTAGTTTTCTAGATTAGTGAAGTTTTTTGATTAGCAAATGATTATTGATCTTTATGCAAAAATTGTACATGGGCATCAGACAGTTTTTGACAAAGTTTTGTTGGTGTACATGTACCTTTAATGTACTACTGTCTTAACGTAAATTTTCTTGACAGAACTTTTTAGGTTTAAAAAATCATTTTATATGACAAATTCATATTATATTGGTACTACTTTATCTAAGACAGTCTTTTATGATTTTATACAGGTGTTAGAAGCATGTGCAAATGAAGTCAGTGATCTGTCTACATTATGTGTGAAACCACCAAAACTGATACATCTAGGATTAGGTTATAACAAACTGTCTTTGATTGGAGATTATTTGACGGGGCAATACTGGTAAGACACTTTGGAAATCTTAAAATAAAGACACGTTGGAGATCTTATAATTAAAATAAACACACTTTAGAGACTTATAAAAGGAGGTGAAAAGAATCTAGTCTAGTGGCTTTCGGAAGATAAACATTATTAACAGGCTTGCTTGTTGAGGGATTATAATCTATTGGATTGCTGGCCAGGTGTGTGTTCAAACCCTGTCAGGGGCAAACCAGTGCTTTCCTTGAGCAAGAAACTTTATACTCATTGCTCTAAGTACTGGTTGGTTCCAGGAATGTGTCCGAGAGTGTGTCTTTAAGCTTATTAAGCTTCCAACACAATCAAATTGAAATAAATTCTGTATAAACTATATAATGTTGTTACAATTGTTTAAAATTATTTCAATTTCAATAAAATTGAGCAACTTACAGTTTAAAGTCTGACCATTTTGCATTAATGTGCCTATAAGCTGTACTCTATACTATAGTCTATAGTTGCAAGTAACATAGGATTGTAATCATCATTTATAACAATTTCATCATTTCATTCTTTGTGTGAATCTGGAATTATTGACTGGTTTTACAAATTATGAAGAACTCTTAAGAATTTGAATCTAATTGAACATAAACTTTATTATACATGTATTATCTTTTAATATAGCTCATACATTTTTATAGAACTAGTATATACGATATTTTTTCATGTTGTTTTGTAAAAAAAGATGTTAACTTATTCATAATTGTATATTGTTGATTTTTTCCACAATAAATCTGTTAGTTTTACCATAGTGAAAAACAAATTGATTGTAAATTAATCTTTGCTCTTAAGTGGCATTTGATGCTACCCATGCAAGTGTGCCATCTGATGATGGTCTGCACTGTTTGCTATTCAGTCAGTACATTATATTGAAATTTTCAAATGGTTTTGTCCATATCAAAATTTTGTCCAAAACGAAAAAAAAATGGACAGGTCCATTTAAAATATTCATTATTGTGTGGGTTAATATGCAATATTATTCCTGTCTACTTGTATTTTAGGCCACATTTGCTGTCTCTCGACTTGAGTAATAATAACTTGAGTGATCTTCTGGATGTGGTCAGAAAGCTTAGCTCACTTCCAAAACTCAGGAATCTTGTGCTGCAAGGAAATCCACTCTCTGTAAGTTTTTATTAAAATATATTAACATATGATATTGATATAATTATGACATGTGCATACAGTTGAACCTGTCATGATAAAGCCAGTGTCAGAGAGTCTTATAATGCAGTCTCAGTTGTTAATAGTCTTAACAGTGTACAATGAAATATAATTTTATAGCAGTTAGTTTATTATGTTACATAGTGATTATTTTAAGTGGTATATAGCACTGTTAAGTAGTTCCCAGGATGGGTGCATCTGTGGCCAAGTGGTTGTTATCTTTGGCTTCAAACCAATTGACCCTCACCATTGTGGGTTTAAATCCTTCCAGTGACTTCAGATTCTAGCTGGAGGGACATTGGTGGTTCTCCTCATAGCCACTTGTGACTGAAATAATACAGGGAGTGGCGCCCAGATCTTCCTTCACCTGTAAATCTGCAAAGTAACCATATGACCCTTACATTGTTGTTGTGAGAAAAAAAAACAATCAAACAAACTTTTCTTTGGATATGAGTTGATTGTGAATGTTTTATATTTCAGTTGATACCTGGTTACCGTGGTTACACAGTAGACAGTTTACGGAAGTTGAGTATACTTGATGACATCATGATCTCTGCTGATGAGAGGCATTATTTCAAAGGCTTGGCTAGAAGAAGAGGTATAGCATTTTTTTAACTTTGACATTTTAGTTTAAATCAACCTTTCTTTGGCTTGTGAAGTCTTTTTATTTGTGACCAACTTACAAAGGGCTTGGTTGTTCTCACTTAGTTGTGTGCTTGTGCCTGAAATAATGCATTGAGGGAGAAACCTTAGGTCCTTTTCCATCAGTAATGCAAGATAGTCACCATACATGTATGATCTTACAGTTCTGATATGACTTGAAATGCTACCAAAATAGATAACTCAGGTGCATGTTTGTGCCTGAAATAATATTGTGCCTGAAATAATGCACGGACCTTTTCTGTCAGTTTAGCTAGAGTCACCATATCACCTATACAGAGCTGATACCTCTTGAAATTGAACCAGAAAAGATAATATTTATGTTATGTTTTTCAGAGCATATTTTAGATGAGGCTAAGGTTATATTGGCTGTGAGTTATATCAAAGGTATCCCAGTACCAGATGAAATTAAGGTGAGTGTGTATTGTTTTAAATTCTTTCATCTTAATATATGGGTAAGATTTCATTACTCCTTTAATCATATAAAACATGTAATAATTGTACGCAAGTTAAATATATTGCACACCAATTGTACACAAGTTAAAAATATTGCACACCAAGTATACACATTTTAAATATATTGTACACCAATTGTACACAAGTTAAAGATATTGTACACCAATTGTACACAAGTTAAAGATATTGTACACAAGTAAATGATATTGTACACCAATTGTACACAAGTTAAAGATATTGTACACCAATTGTACACAAGTTAAAGATATTGTACACCAAATGTACACAATTTAAAGGTATTGTACACAAGTTAAAGATATTGTACACCATCTGTGCACAAGTTAAAGATATTGTACACCAATTGTACACAAGTTAAAAATATCGCACACCAAGTATACACATTTTAAATATATTGTACACAAATTGTACACAAGTTAAAGATATACTTTTCTCATCTTTAGGTGAATGCAATAAATTATTGAAATCTAGGGAATTCTTACTGAATTGGTCTAAGTTGAATAAGAGAATGCACAAACTATGTTTGTGGGTAAAGTATGATTTAATCATTTGTGCGTGTAAACTATAAAGTAACCTTTTTCTCTTGTAAACTATAATTTCATCATTTGTTTGTGTGTAAATTATATTTTAATAATATTTTTGTGTGACGTTTAGCTATAATTTAATCATTTTTTTATGAGTTTGTTAAGTATAATTCAAGTAAAGTGTTATAATATATACTTTAATATAGAATCCTGATGATCAACCAGAGTTCCCTGTGGTAGAGAGGAAATATTTTGTGCAATTCATGTTTCTAGAGGATCAAACATTAACAATGGCTGGAGGGGAAGAGGAACTAAGGGACATAACTGACATGTCAGGATATCCCACAGAGAGAACAGAAATGGCAGAAATCGCAGAAATGGTATGAGACTATTATATAGAGGATATATTTGTTTGTTTCAGTTAAAGATTGATATATATATTTCATAGGGTGAATACTGAAGGTGATTACAGCTGGTGTTCACAAATGAAATATCATTTTGATCTTACAATTGTAAAACCAAAGAAATGTTCTGCCAGTTTTATACTTTGAAAGTTTGTGTAAATTAGGTAGCCTTAGTTGAACCTCAAGTGCAAGAAATATCTTCATCTTAATGTGTGTGTCTTTCCAAATCTTTTATTTTTGTATCATTATGTTTTGCGTAATTTGGTTGTCTTTTAATGTACCCCACTACTTACAGGGATGAGAAGATATAGATTTGCTCTTGTCCATTCCGCTTTCACACTGTCCTGCTGTCATACTGTCCATCCATGGACTTACAAAACAATGGAATGTAGGAGCATTTGTATCATATAGACACATGTCTAGTTTAAGATATATCTTAAGTCTTTTTATGTCATTTTATTTTGATTGTAAAAATAAATTATCACAGAAATAGGGTAATTTTGAATTTTGTTGTTCATTTAATCATTACTTTATTTTACAGCAGTCACCAGTTGTAGATGCTTCATTTATAGAGAAGAATGTTTTGTTTACCCAGGAACCAGATGTGATGCATACCATTGATAATACAGGTAAGGTTTCCATGACATTCCAGAAAATATACAGTCTATGAAAAAAGTCTATGTATGGTGTTCAAAAGGTGGTCTTTATACAGAGGCAGTCTTTCTAAAGAAGTTGATTTTTATATATTAAAGAGCCATTTATGAGATGTTTTATCTTCCTTCCTTCCTTCCTGCCTTCCTTTCTTCCTTCCTTGCCTCCTTGCCTGCCTGCCTGCCTGCCTTCCTTCTTTCTTCCCTTCCCTTTCCCTTTCCCTTTCCCTTCCCTTCCCTTCCCTTCCCTTCCCTTCCCTTCCCTTCCTTCCTGCCTGCCTGCCTGCCTGCCTGCCTGCCTGCCTGCCTCCCTTCCTCCCTCCCTCCCTCCAAGCAACATGAAACATCCTACCAATATTTTTTTGTATATCGAATTTAAAATATTGAAGGATAAGTTAGATAATAAATTGAAATGGAAAGAATTCAAAATTGAAAGCATTTCTGCATTTGAAGTTAAAAACATTATTGATAAACTAGATGCAAATAAAGCCACTGGACTAGATGAACTAGGTCCAAAAATAATAAAATCGTGTGGTGACTTTGTGACCCCAATGATTGCTAGCATAATTAATAACAGTATTAGACAAGGAATATTTCCCGATGAATTAAAAAATGCCCGAGTTATTCCAATTTTCAAATCTGGACTGAAAGATGATCCGAGCAACTATCGACCTATTTCTATCTTGCCTACAATATCTAAGATTTTTGAACGTCACATAGCTAATCAGTTACAGCATTTTTTCCAAAAAACAAATATTTTACATAATAAACAGTCAGGATTTCGAAAGAATCATTCATGCAATACGGCCCTAATTCATTTGATAGACTCCTGGCTAAAAGATGTTGATAGTGGCAAATATATAGGTACAGTATTTTTAGACCTGCAAAAGGTGTTTGATTTAGTTGACCATGAAATACTTTTATATAAACTCAAACTTTATCACTTTTCTGTCACATCATTAAAACTGTTTCATTCGTATCTGTCTAATCGTATGCAAATAATTCAAATTGGAGACTTAAAATCTGACGTACAATATGTTACCTCTGGCGTTCCACAAGGCTCAATATTAGGTCCTTTACTGTTTCTTCTTTATATAAATGATCTCCCAAATATTTGCGAGGATGTTAACATAGATTTATATGCTGATGATTCCATGTTGCATAAATCTGGAGATGACATATCCGTTATAGAGGAAAAACTACAATGTAGCCTTAATATGATTAATAAGTGGTGTAAAATAAATAATATGCTTTTACACCCTAAAAAATCTAAAAGTATGCTGGTAGGTAGTAGACAAAAGCTAAAGATTGCAAAAGCATTAAATTTGAAAATTAACGACTCAACTCTTGACAATGTAGAATCACAAAAACTGCTTGGTATTAATGTTGAAAATACACTCACTTGGCACTGTCAGGTAAATGATGTGTGTAAAAAATTGAACTCTTAAGGTTAATTTATTTAGGCGTATAAAGTACTTTTTAAATAAGGAATCACGCATGCTTTTTTATAATGCATACCCATTTCCTATTTTTGATTATTGTTGTAATATATGGGGGAAAGAAAACAAAGTATATATGCCAAATATACAAACTACAAACCCGAATTTGCAAAATTATTCTAGATCTTCCAATGAGAAAACGATCAGAAAATGTATACAAAAGATTAAAAATATTGCCTTTCGTTTTTCACACCGGTGTCCAAGTATATAAAGCACTGAATAATATGTCCCCTCAATATATCCGAGACTTACTTACCATATCTAATAATCAAAAGTATAATCTAAGATCGATATCTCACGGAAATTTAATTTCGTCTTACAAACCACGTACTAATTATTTTAATGACACATTCCAATTTAATGCCATGGTTATTTGGAATTCCATACCACTGACTATAAGAAGAAAAACAAAATTGTCAATATTTAAGAATAGTTTCAAGAAATACTTATTTAATCAACTTTAGCACGGTCCGTATGTATTATATATACAAGATACGCTCTTTATATTCATACATGTGTTTTTTATTATTATGTTTTCTAATAATGGGTGTCTGTCTTAGTTTCAAGTTTTTTGACTGTGTTAATTTTGTAAGTTAATTTTACTTTTTAAATTGCTGATTAAAATGATGCACTGATGAAAGTATTATGTTTAATGATAAATAAAATGAATTGTATGAATGTTCAGTATATGTGTTTATATATGTTAAAATTGTGATAACCATTTAATCATTTCATTTACATGTTATATTTTCTTTGATTGATATGTGTTCTTTTGTGTGTGTTTTTTTATTTTTATTTATTTTTATTTTATTTTTTTTTTTTTATTTTAGAAGGCCGCATTGTAAATAAGATGTTGCAATCTGTATATGTCTTAATGTGTTACCTTCGGTAAATAAAGTTATTATTATTATTATTATTATTATACAGGTGATGCTGTTATTCCAGAAGAAACACCCATGGAAAAAGAAAAGAAGACAGAAGATGAAGAAGAAAAAGAAGAGGAAGGAATAAAAGCAATCAAGGTAATATACTGTGCTGAGCTATCATTGATGAGTACCAGCAATATCATTTCTTTGTCATTTGGTAAGGAATGTGTTGAAGATGGCATGATGCAACAACTTAGTGCTATTTTTCATTCAAATGAATAAAATCTTTGGTTTAGTAAAGAAAACATTAGATTCAGCATTGATAAGAAACAATCAGACAAAATTTGACTGCAAAAACATATTTCTTTTTTAATTGATTATTTTTGTTGCAAAAGTTTTATTTCATGTCATTTTCTTTCCTTCCTTCTTTCTTGATTAATATCAATGATCACTACAGTCACGCCCCAAAGAAAAAAGTTATGGGTGTGTCTTTGATGAAATAAACTCCTGATTTGCTAATGATGGTTTTACCCACATGTTTTTTTGTTGTTTTTTTTCATTTAGACGGCACCATTGAATTCGGTGAAGAATGCATGGGCGGAGGAAGTTGAATGTAACTGGACACAAGCGGTGGTACGAGATGACCTTCTGTCATTGAGAGATTTCTTCAAACAAGGCATGCAGATTTCCGTCATAGAAGAAGTGGTATGTCAATACAGATATTTCATTTTATTGTTAAAATATGACTGTATCTGTGAAGACAATTTTGTGATTATTTTTTACTATATTTGTTAAGGTTGAACATAATTTTGGTACAATATTTCAGTCAGATACTGCATGTCAGTTACCCATTTTAGTAGCTACCCAACAATTGTTCTTCAGGGTCTGTACAAACAATAGTAACTGGGTTGTTTTGTACGAGGTACGAGTTACCCGATTCAACAATGCAGGATGATTGGTGTTAGAATAGGTGCCTTCAGAAAATAGTCTCAGAAAAACATTAATTTTGCAATGCTAGAAATTTTGAACATTTGATCTGCAGGCCTGTTTTAGATAGTGAGCCATTTGGAAGTGCTTGGATAAGAACCTGAGATGATGAAATATTGCTTTAAAAGCAAAGTTATTTTTAAACATTACTTAAAAATAAGCCTCTATGAAAATATTAATTAATGAAATGATATTTTCATTGTAGACAAAACAAATATTCTGAATAATACTTACATTTGCCATTCATATATATGTGTTTTAAGACTCGTATCTTACAACTTTTTCACAATTAAACAGAATCAATGATGATATTTCATTTTAGAAAAATTTTGCTCGTTAACTAAATGCATTTGTTGTTCAGATAAATATATTTTATGTTAAATACTTTATTAGATTATTTAAGACCTGTATGTTACAATGTTTTGCAATTTAGCAGAATAATATTAAATAAATGATATTACATTTCGGACAAAATTTCACTTATAAACTAAATGCATTTGCTGTTCATTTATATATTTTGGTTTTCAAGAATATCATGCATTGATTTTACTTATTTGTTCATAATGTACGGCTGCTACATTTGTTTATACTTCACACTAATAGTTGAGCTGTTTGTTTCAGACGTTAAGTTACCCGGTGATACCAGAGGAGGGTGATGAAGGGGCACTGCCCAATGCTAAGGTGTAGTAAATGCACCGTTGTTTACACAAAATTGTTTCATTTATAACTCATCTGTCCGTAACCACTAATTGGTTGTTTCTAGTTGAAAATTAATATACATGAGCAGAATTGAATCCATACTAGGTCATTAATTCTGATACACTAGCCACTCACCTCTGTGGGTTCAAATTCTACCAGACTAACTGGATTCTTTAATGTGACAAAGCTCTCCTGCTAGCATATGAAAAGTTAGTGGTCTTACTCAATATGTTTGCTTTTATCCAAAACATGGCAAGGAAAGGCACCTGTGGCCATCGTTTACCAGTAAAGCTGGAAAAAATCACAATAATGAACTTTACAATGTCAGTTTGACTTAAAATCGTAATTAAAAAAAAATCGCAGATGAGCTGATGTATACAGTGATTTACTTTTGGCTTCAAAATTAATTTCTTTGGATTATTCTCTATGAAAACTGCATTGAGCCAAGTTCTCATCACTTCTGCATCATGATTAACCCTCAAAAGGCATGACTGGTGACAAGTCCAGACCATGGTATTATTCCTTGCTGGAGCCTAAAACAAACCTACAAGAATAATTAAAAGTTTGGATTTACCTGTTCATGTATATTAAATGATGACCATGTTTCTTATTGTTTATTATTTCAAAAGGAGATGGATTTTAAATGTTTTGAAATGTTGCCTTGAATGTTTAAAATATTCATAATTATTTTACCTCGTTTTCATAGTGTAATAATAAGACTATTTAAAAGCATGTGGAAACATAGGTGATTGAATATGGAAGGAAAATCTAATTATTCACTTTAAAATAAATCTTTTTTATTCAGTTGAAAATGTACATTTAATTTGTGACTGGCATACCATTAAATATGCACATTCAATTAAAAAATTACATTTATGATTAAATCTATATTGATTTAGTGATTTACTTTCAATTAGAAATGTACGTTCAATTGGTAAAATTCATTCAATTTGTACAGTACATTCAACTTGTACAGTGCATTTAGTTAGTAATGTACATTCAATTAGAAATGTACATTCAACATTCAAATGTACATTACTTATTAGTAATGTACATTATATTAGTAAATTACATTTAACTAGTAATGTACATTCAATTTAAGGCAACATGTCAGAATTCTGAAATCTTTTATTTCATTATATAATTATTCCAGAAATGTTGATTTTTCTCCTATACATTTCATAATTTGGGTGCTTTTGGAAAAAACAAACTTGATTTGATCATTTACTTTAACATGGTAACTTTCCTGACTGACATGTTTTGAATATTACATCACATTAATATATTTTAACTAATTTGTAAGTTAATCTAGCAACCCCCTCCTACATTTAGTATATGTGATAATTGACTCAAACATAAAAGATTTAATAAATTTTAAAGGTATATTTCTGTTTATAAGAGGAGCTTATTCCATGATCTTAAAGCAGCACACTTCCAGAATTTTTTTATTTTTTCATAGTGATATTTTGAAAAAACCTTTATTAAATAGCATATTGTTATGTGTAAAAATTAAAGGACAACTTTTAAGGTCAGTCTTAAACACATAAAATACAAAAACCTAAAACAAACAAATTTAGCCCATCTCTGTTACATGTGTTAAGTTACTTGGGAGAAATATGGTAAAACTGGGGGGGGGGGGGGGAATATCAAGTAATGATCAAGCTACGTTTTGAATAAAACCTGTAAATTTTATCATGATTTTTTCAGCATAATTACTTTATATCCCATTATACTTGGAGGATGTGAGGGTGTGGGTGGGGTTTCGATATAGACTTGCGCTTGCCCATTTGTCCTGGCTATCATCAAATTTCATTGTTTTTGTGTGAAAAAAAACCCACATAAAATCAAAGAAAAAGTTCATGAACCCCATATATATTAACTCCCACCCTGCTGTCAATCTGTAGACTGACCAAACAGTGAAATGTAGGGGCATCTGTGTCCAGTTATTGACACATTTTTAGTTGTTAAGTTTGATTTGTTTTCAAAATTAAATTTCTTTTCTTATCTGGAGGTGTGCAGCTTTGAATTCGTTATCTTATTAAAAAACCTCTTCTTTAACTTAAAGATATATTATTGCAGGACATAGAGCCTGAGGTACATTACCTAGTTGTTTTTTTTTAAGTTGATATGGGCTTTGGGACTACTTTGAATTTCTGCCAGATATTAATGTATAAGCTTTGTATAACAATTTGTTTTGGATCTTTTCTTGACTGAAATGAGTAGTTGAAGTAGTAAGGTGTGGCTTCATATTGGAATGATATAATTATAATTATGTTAGTAGTTTGTTTGGAACTTTTGCTTTGTTTATAAAGTCTCATTTTGAATTTGCCTTGATTTGTTTTAGGATAATACTAGATAATTGTTTAGAATTTGATGGACATATACATTTATTTTGAAAGACAGACAAATATTTTGGCAATTGGTTTTGCTTAAAAAGATTGTGACTCAACATTTAGTCATATTTGAACATAATGGCATTGTGTATTGACCCTCTCTTTTTTATCAATGGACTAACTAGGTGACTAAAATTCTTCTATTCTTCATGTTTTATGATGAACATTTATAGTTTCCCCCAAAAACATAGCATTTTATTATACATTCATATATCTTTAAAGTTGATGTTCAGATTAAATAATGTTCTAAAAAATCAATTAATTTTCTCATTCATCTCAACATTTTGGGAACCGAAATTCATTTTCATCGTCAAATCATATATAAATTAATCAGAGCTTGTCAGAGCTTGGTTTTTTATGATGTTCTTTTTTGTTTTGTTTTGGTCTTATCATGTCTTTGAAGTGTTTCCTTAACAATATTTTATTTCAAAATCTTCATTTTGTTTTTGCTAGAGAAGATTGCAGTGTTAAATTACATTTGTGCTTCAATAATATCTTTCATTAAAAATTTCTGCTGGGTCATGGGCAGTAAAAATACTTTTGTATTGGCTAACAGTTATACAGCTCCCTGTAAGCTTGCCATAAAAACAATGATAGCCGAAAAATTGAAAGTGGCTGGCATAATAGAAATATATCTGATATTAAGCTGGCAGTGAAATTGATAATGGCGTTAAAAAAGATAATGGCTAAAATTATATATTTTCTCTCTCAGACTTCTGTAATATTTAGTTATAATTATACACCTTTAGATTGTCTTTAAAATATCTTTACATTATAAATTAATAGCAAAATATATATTTAGGTTATTCTCATTGTTTTCTTAATTCTGTAGATGTTTTATTAAATTCTTAGGAAATATTTATATTTTACTCTCTTTTTTAAATTCAGTAATCTATAAGATTTTTAGTATAGGTTTAAGTTTAATAGTAGGTATTTAAATACATACTAATAAATTTTAACCAGCTTAGTTGTTTAAATTGTTTTTATTTTTATAAACAGTCAATTTACAAGACTGATTAACAGTTTGCAATTTACTAAAGTAAATGTGTTACAATTCATTTGAAATACTCCAATCCTTTTGGACAAGAAATAATTTCAAACAGTCTTAATAAGAGTAACATTTGTAAACACAACAACGTTTTTAAATTCTACTAGTTTCAATCAACACTTATTACGTTCATCTGAACAAAATAATTTAAAATTATTACTTTATTTATACGATTTATACTATACTGTTCAAAGATACGTTCAATGTTTTGTTTTAATGTTTTATAATTATATGTGTATGAACTTGGCAAGCATCAGTGGTTTTTGGAGGGGGGAGGGGGTGGATGGGAGGGAGGGAATTAAAAATCTTCTTAACCAATGCTAATAAAGAAAGGAGGCATACTGGTTCTGATCAACTGTTTTAATATTTACACGTTTTATTTTTTAGTTTAACAAAACTATTTCTTCATTCAACTTAACTGATTTTTTTTGCAAATTAATTTTGCTGAAGAATCAATCAAAATATTCACCTATGATTTCATTTCATTTGAGTAAGGATAAAAAAAATGTTGTATTTTCATTATATCTTATATGACAGAGAAAAGGTTCCAGTCGAATGAGTCGGGCTAGTCGAGCGAGCGAAGTGTCAAAAAGATCAAAAACGTCGTTAAAGTCTCAAAAATCGGTAGGGTACATGCAATTTATAGTGTGGCAGGCTATATAATCAACATAGATATACATGTATACAGTTTATAGACGGAGTGGACTAGGGCTATGCACATTTCATTGTTGGTTTCCATGGCGACAGATCACATTAGTTTTTAAATTTTTTTGGAATTACGTAACTCTGATGTGTGGGATAGGCAGTAGTTTAGGGGTACCGTTGAGCCTCAACTTTCACAATCCACTCTAGTGTGAATACTGCCTACAACACCAAAGAAGCAGCCATTTGGCATAACGTAAAATGCTTTTCTAGGTCACTGAAAAATAGGTTTGATTTTAGTTGGAAAAAAACACAGATATCATCTAGCTATTAATGAAAAATCTTATAAAGTATTGGTGTTAAAAAGTTAAGTGACAATAGTAGTTTTTTATAACATTAGAGATACCAATTTTTCATTTTATTGCTCATTCAATACCTTAAATTACCTAAATGATTAAAGAGACCTCTAAAAATTAAAACATATCTGATGGTCACTTTTGTTTGTGGTTGCTAGTTGAAATGGTGTGAACATAGATTACAAAAAAAAGAAAAAAACGATTTGCAAGAAAAGGTTTTAGATTTTTAGTTGGATTTTAGTTGAAAAAGACACTCAGACATCATATGTAATTATAATGCACATATAACTAAGTATAATTTTCACTTTTATTTACAGTACATACATTATACATGTATATAATTTACGTCTGGTTTCCATATTCTTTTCTTTAGGGAGCCTTTATGAATCTGATTTTTCTTTAGCAGGTCAGCACAAGATTACACCCTGTTCTGATAGTATAGGTTTATCTTTCTTTTATGTCAATATCATCATCATCATCATCATCATCATCATCATCATCATCATCATCATCATCATCATCATCATCATCATCATCATCATCATCATCAATTTTATCATCATCATCATCATCATCATCATCATCATCAATTTGATCATCATCATCATCATCATCAATTTGATCATTATTATCATCATCATTATCATCATTATCATCATCATTAATACAATCATTATTACTATCATTGTCATCATTAACATAGTTATAAGCGTCTCAATCATCAATACCATCATCATAGTCATCATCATCATCACCCTTGACAGATGGAGCAGAGGCATACAGACAAGACTTCAACAGATGTCAGAAAATGACATTGTAACAGGATTCCATATCAATAACGACACAACAACAAATGTAGCCTAGGGTCATTCTAGCTATAAATAGGTGTTACCATGGTAACAATATGTCATTTATTGACGTTTATTTCATTGAACAATTCTAGACAGAGGGGTATCCAATAGATACATCAACACCGGTTACCGGTACTAGAAAAGCCAGTGCAAAAGACAAGAAAAAAGAAAAAGAGGAAAAGCCTAAAGTAAGCCCTGTAGTTGGTCAAAACTGTTGTAGAATAAATAATTATTAGGTGTTCAATTTCATTCAAACAACTGTTATAGCTGTTCTCTGAAGGTAAAGGTCACCTAGTGATGATTTCTGAGCAACTTTGTGGTTTTAATATAGTTGCTTTGGGTTCTGATTCTCAGTCTGAACATATTAAAAGAGGGTTAATGTACCTTTTCCTGTATAGATATCTGCAAAAGCATGAGGACACTTTAAAGCCTGAGCCCCAAGGGCGAGAATAAGTCCAAGACCTTCTGCAGATGTTAATGCACAAAAGGTACATTATCCTGATTCTTGCATAAAAGCTTACCTCTACCTCTAAATCGGTAACTCCACGTTTTATTATCCATATTTCATAAAAAAAAATCATTGCTTGTGTGCTAGAATGATGTCATTGGGCATTCATGTTTTGATAGTAAAACTAACTTGAGCCATTATTGCATTAAGCTGATTTTACATTGTGACCTGAGTCACGCACAATAAAAAACTTGCAAAAACAGCCTATTGTCATGAGAATCTGTCCCGTAATGCTTGTTTTATCTGTGAATGTATACCTGTATGCACAGTTTTTATGCAAGAATTATGAACATATTATGAACTTCAGTGTCCAAAGCAAAGGAGAGCATAAACTTCAGTGTTCAAAGCAAATTATAGCATAAACTTCAGTGTCTAAAGCAAATGAGAACATAAACTTCAGTGTCCAAAGCAAATGAGAGCATAAACTTCAGTGTCCAAAGCAAATGAGAGCATACAATTCAGTGTCCAAAGCAAATGAGAGCATACACTTCAGTGTCTAAAGCAAATGAGAGCTTAAATTTCAGTGTCTAAAGCAACTGAGAGCATACACTTCAGTGTTGGAAGCAAATGAAAGCATGAACTTCATTGTCAGTGTCCAAAGCAAATGAGAGCATAAACTTCAGTGTTTTGGACACAAAATATTATGGGAGCATAAACTTAGTGGACAAAGTTGATCAGAAATTGTCATTTATCAACAGGTTCCTTTGTCATTTAATGCTTCCTTCTTGTTATATTCTTGATAATTATGTATTATTGGACATGTAATATTTTAGATATTTAGTTTACTTTAAAAATGGCTCTTTAATCTTTTCCTTCTGTTGACTTCTAGATTCCTATTGTAAAAAAGGTTTAGTATTTCTTGGTTATTTTAAGAATTTTATTGTTCTTTGGGTTTATTTGACATTTTATTGTTCAAGTTTGGTTGAAAGTAAAAATACAGAGATTATTTTCATCACAATTAGCGCAATGTATAAACAATTCTACTTCCTTCCTATTATTGCAATAAAGTTTATTAGCTCCCAAGAAAGGTAGTTAGATTAGCTTGTTTTCACAAGACAGGGTGCATACTAAATTTCATAGACTCGTAAGACAGTGATTTTGTTTATTGAACATGATTATTGGCATTTATTTTCCTTGGGGTAAAAAAATTATATTTTTGGCCAGGATGTAAATGTTTTTGCGAAATGTTTAACTCCACAAGCACGGAGAAAAATATTTCATCTTGATATCCCAAAAAATGATCATGGAAAGTTCCGGAAATGGAAAGTGTTCATGTTAGTTTTAGAAATTCAGCAGATTAAGGGTTAAATAGGAATTCTCACAAATATACCTTGATCTTTTGATACTTTTTTATAAATATCTTTTAAGAACCAAATTTCAAAACTTTGTTTCCTGGTAAAATAAAACTGTATAATTTATATTTTACTTTAACATTGAGAATGTTAGTCCTTGAAGCATTTCCAGTTCAACAATGCTTTTAAAATAGATAAAACATATCTTCATGTTTTTAAAAATCAAATATGATTTTTCAATTATTCATTAACCCATACTTGGGTACGAGAATTTTTTTTCAGGAATCAGGATGAATTGATGGATTCAAGTATAATAATATATAATTCATTCTTCTAATAATCAACACAGGTGGAGGGAATGTAACATTTGTTTGCTTTGTTCCATTTAAATATGTCTGTGTCTGCTTTCAATGATACACTATGAACTCTGTTACCATTAATATTTCAGTGCAGCTGGCTTGGGCCAGACCAGCCCTGCATGTCCATGTGGCCTTGCCAAACTCTGTACACTCAAATCATTCCAGACAGCTTTTTTTAGGAATAAAGTATTGAAATCCCTAGATTTGATAATGAACAGTTCCAAATTCAAAGCAATGCAAGTCCATTATCAAATTGTGGGTAACATAGGCTCAGTGGATATGGTGTCTGCTTCTCACCCCAGATACTATGGGTTTGAGCCTTACTCAGGTTATATGTTCCAGGAAGCAGACTTGAAAGTTGTTCAAATAAGCTTTCTTCACATGTTAACTTAAATAAATCATCACCTTAGAGCAGTAACAGGTTAACTTCTAATATATCAAAGAAGGAGTTAACCTGTTACTGCACTCAGGTGAGGAAATAGTGTTTAAAGTAAACTTAAGAAGGGTATTGGTTAAAGCTTTTGTTGTGAATCATAAAACTATATCTCTTTATATGGTCTGGCCACAAATATTTTTGCCATAGTGTTAGGTCGGTAAGCACAAAATGTGATTTTTAGTTAATTAATGATATTTTTTAGCTTGACTATCCGAAGAAAAGGGTGATCTATTGTCCTCACCCTGGCGTATGCATTAGAGTCGCCATCATACTTAATAAATATTTAATGCACAAGTTACAATTTCCAAAACTGCTGTTGAGAATGGGTTGAAACTTCACACATTTTCTTGCAAGCATAATAGAAGGTCTTTCTCTAAAGCCTTTAACTCTCACATAGATTTTGACAGAATTATGGCCCTTTTTGAACTTTTGAAAATTCTATACTATCAAGGCTTTTGTTTCACTATCAAGCACTGAGAATAGTCTCAAGCATGCTGCCCTTCTGGCCGTTTGGTTATTTAAGTTTTAGTTAACTAAATTTATTTGGAATAATCTGCAGACAATATAGGCATATTTTAAATGGAACAAACTTTGTCGCGCTAATAGTGTGTGTTATACTGTGCAGTGTTGTTTCTTGCGTGTTAAACCATATTACATTTTTAGCTCGACTATTCGAAGAATATGAGAGCTATTGTAGTCGCCCCGGCGTCGGCGTCGGCGTCAGCGTCCGCGTCGGCGTCTGCGTTGGTTAAAGTTTTTTGTAAATTCAAATATCTCAATTATTGCTTGAGATATTCAATTGAAACTTGCAATACTTATTTATAGTAACAATATACATCAGATTGACAAGTTGGATAACTCTGCCTACAATATTTACAGAATTATGCCCCTTTTAAACTTAGAAATTTTGGTTAAAGTTTTTTGTAAATTCAAATATCTCAATTATTGCTTGAGATATTCAATTGAAACTTACAATACTTATTTATAGTAACAATGTACATCAAATTGACAAGTTTGATAACTCTGCCTACAATATTTACAGAATTATGCCCCTTTTTAACTTAGAAATTTTGGTTAAAGTTTTTGTAAATTCAAATATCTCAATTATTGCTTGAGATATTCAATTGAAACTTACAATACTTATTTATAGTAACAATGTACATCATATTGACAAGTTGAATAACTCTGCCTATAATATTTACAGAATTATGCCCCTTTATAACTTAGAAATTTTGGTTTAAGTTTTTTTTGTAAAGTTAAATATCTTTAGTATTGCTTGAGATATTCAATTGAAATTTACAATTCTTTTTTATAGTAACAATGTACATCAGTTTGCAAAATTGCATAACTCTTGACTGCAATATTTGCAGAATTATTTGCCCCTTTGAAACTCTAAGAAATTTTGGTAAAGGTTAAAGTTCTTCAAAGATATTTACTTGAAACTTTACACATGTGCTTAGGGTCATAATTGGAGAGTCATAATTGTATGTCACTGACCAAGTTCCATAACTCTACTCGCATTTAGGCTGATTCATCTCCCCTTTTCTACTAAGTCTCTTAGTTAATGTTTACATGCAAGTATTACATATCTCAATAACTATTAAAGATATTTATTTAAAACTTCACATATGCATTTAGAATCATAATTGTAGGTCACTGACCAAGATCCATAATTCTATCTTGCATTTAGGCTGATTTTTCTTCCCTTTTTCAACTTAGAAATTCATAGTAAAATTTTGCTTGTAAGCTGTTATCTCCATAACTACTGAAGAGTTTGTGCCTTTTTTGTCATAATAATAAAGCAGTGATTTACTTGATAAAACATCTTTATAACTGTGTACCTTTTCAGTCAATTTTATGTATTCATAGGTAACTAGCATTATTATACTAAATAAAACACCCTTGTGACAACATTTTGAATAGTCGAGCCAATACTGTCCTCCGACAGTTCTTGTATCATTAATTGTTTAGTAAATCAAATATCATCTTTACCTCAACATTATTAACAATTATTACCTTATTTTATCAATATTTCAATATGTTCAATGATTATGTTTACATCAAAGAAATGAATGTGAAAAACTTTAGTCCTATTGTAGTACAGGTATATTTAATGTTTTAAAGAATAAGAAATTTTTAGTTTGGTGGTTCAAAACTTTAAGGTCACTTATTATTTTCCATAACTGACTCGGTAAGTTTAAACTGTATTATAGTACTTGATGATATATGTTTATCAAAATTTAGAGGTCATGACTTTGTTCCTTTCAAAAAATTTTTTTGTAGCAAAATTTAATTTGCTAAAATATAAAAGATAATCAGCTATAACACTTTCTTTTCTATGTTTTATTAAAGTCATAAATTTGAAAAACAGATATTATTAATTTACATTATTATTTATAGATCAAAAATAGCAGGGAAAAATTAATAAAACATTACAAAAATATATAAATGAATAAAAACAAAGAAAAAGAAAAAAAAGTACATTTGACCATTTTAAACAGTAAAGGCAGATCATACAATTAGCTTTTTATTTAAATCATGAAAACCACTACGAATATTTTTCATAGATTTTTTTAAATGTTCATTTTCTAAGTGACAATATTGACTGACTGGTTCCCATTTACAGACTGGTGGTAAGGATAAAGGTGGTGACAAAAAGAAGAAGAAAGGGGAACCAGAACAAGAGCTGAAAAAGAATCCTCCGACTTACACGACCCTCGCCACATGGCACGTGCCGCTCGCAGACTTCCTGGAAGGAGAGTTCCAGTACCAGTCGGTTTTCTCGCAAGGTGGTGTCGAGGTCGCCTCAACCGTGAGAAGTATGGATACTGACTCGGCTAGAAAGGTAATGGTGTTTTTTTGTTGTTTTTCATAATGATTTTTTTTCTTTATGTATGCTTAGGGTTTTTTGTATGAACTAACATTGATAATTGTATGACTGTGAAAGGTACAACTCGACATATTAAAATTTGTGATGAACTTTGTAAGTTCCCTGAGATATGCTTTTAGATGAACTAAAGACAATTTTGTTTACACAGTTGAAAATTAAGCTGATTATACCATGGTTTTGGATTTCTGAAGTAAAATGTTTTTGCTGTACACTTGTCACATAAATATTGAAAACATAATAAAACTGAAAAAAAAAAACATTGTAACCCCAAAACAACATGTCAATCAACTTAATTTCACTCTTGCTTAAATGTCATTGTTATTCATATTAGTATGTGTAAAAGAATATAATAGAGTATAATTTGTGCCTAATATATTTTTTTTCAACTCATGAAATTAAGTGTGTAGCATGCATTAATGTTCAACAACACAGAACTAACCAGGACATGAATTTGACATTAAGAACTAGTATGACTTGTGTACATTGTTACAATGTTAATTTGTGAAATACAGGCATTAAAATCGAGGGGTTCAGGTAAAGGTTCAGGTCGTGGGTCTAGTCGAATATCAAGGAAAGATGTGAGTATAGCATGCACAGGAGACTGCTGTATTCATACCGCAAAATAATCTCAGTAGTTTATAAATATCAAATATTTTACTCTTAGAGAAAAACTGTAGGAACATTCAATAGGAGAACAATTGCCTGCACAAGGACTGGATATATACAGAAGATGGACAAAAGTTTTTGTATAATTTTCTCACTTTTCCATGGACTTGCATACTGTTTTTGTAATAATATTTGAAAAATTAATTCTAAATTTATGTAGATTTGATAGGAAAGGTAAAAGATCATTCAAACATAAACAGTCCTAAGATAGTCCTAAAGTTGGTCTTATGCCCTAGGATACACTAACAATAGTGAATAAATTGTGGCGTGTGCATTGTATGTAAAGTACATGTAAGTTTATTGGGGAAAAAAACTGGGAAAATTACTTTTGTCCACCTACTGTAGATAGAGATATGTGTATACAAAAATTATAGTTTAGATTTATACAGATTTGCACTATACTGGTTTCAAAGTGTTGATGAGATTTGTAGTAGTGCTTGGTTTTTTGTCAGAGACACTTATTAAGTAATCAAGTACTAGTATTATATACAGTTTAATGGTTCACATCATCTTAAAATTCTTACTGAAATTAATTTGTTTGAAATTCAAGTCCCAGATCACAGATCAATTACATTGCTAAAATCGTTTTTATGCTCCCTTATGTGATCACATAATGTTTTGTTTTTAAATGAATATCCCAAATATATAGGTATCTCTTAGATTTACAGGATTCTTTTCTTAGTGTGTGTTCTCAGTGTAAGGAATTCTTTCTCCAAATAACAGCGGACCAACCAATGATGATGTGATATTTTAGGACACTTTAATTACTAAGAGATCAATGGGATTAATTTTTGATCTGTGAAATAAACTTCATTCATGTTCAATTGTTTTGAAGAAATAATATTCAGTAGATCTAGGCAATATAATACTATATATTATAAAATGAAATAAAAAGATGGACATCAGTCTACCATAGAACTTAACGCCAAATTGAAATAAATTAATTGATTTGAGATTAATTTTTAAGGCCTAAAACTTTAAACCTTACACTTAAGACCTTAAACTTTAGAACTTAAACTTAAGACCTCTGCTACTATCACTATCAATTCTTTTCCTTGAAATTGTTAAAATCATGAAAGTCATTTTACTTTGTTGTCTTAATAATTCATGAAAAAAAAACAAACAAAAAAAACAATAACAATTTTTCTGTGTTTCTGTATGAATAGCTTTTTAAAAAACAATGAACCAACAATTTAAGTTTTTGGTGATTTTATCATTTTATATCAACATATTGAAGCACATGTGTTTGTATCACCAAAAATTATAGGACATCAACTTGAAGCTCTGGTGCCAGAGATAACTTGCCATTTATTTCATCAGTTTTATTTGCTATTGTATTTATTGAAAGGCTGAAAACTTATATTTTGTAGTTATAGTTTAGATACAAATGTATGCAAATATATAAATTCAGCGTACATCATTGGATGAATCAGGCCGTGCCCACCGTGCAAGTGCTAGACCTTCCCCTGTAAGATTATAAATAGATATTTTTGTGACATTATGTTGACACAGTTTAGTTAGTTTTACAGTTCCAATGTTGTGTGTATACATTTTATAAATTTTTAGGTCGTTATACACTTATTGTGATATTGTAATTTTAGCTTTATTTATTTCCCAATATGGTTGACGGTAAATTGGCTTCATTTAAAGTTTTTCTTCATTTACGCCCTTTAAGAAAGGCTGTAATATCATTTATATATTATAATTTGAATGTTTTTTATTTAATGTCATGCCCTTAATTATTCATCTTCTAAATTTGTGTAATGAAAAACACATAGGACAAATTAAATATTGGACAACTAAACACATAGGGCAACTTTGCACATTGGACAATACACATTGGGCACTAAAAGTTACACATATGGCAATAGGGAAAAATAAACACACTTTACACAATTATTAGGACAACTAAACATGTATAGGACAAATAAACATACATAAGGAAAAAAGTTTTACTTTATCGATTTTTATGTGCTTCAAGTTCTTTTTCTTTACTGCTATTTTCTTGAATTTTTTATTAACTCCAAAAGCGCTGGTTGAATATCATATTTTGTAACATGGGTTTTCAGATAAAACTAAAAGGCATGATAAAGGGTTGAATTATAACATAATGTGAAAGTGGTATTTTTTCTGTATTTGATGTAACTATAATGACATATTTGAAGTGTTTGACTTAATCAATTATTGAATTTTCACTTACTTTTCACTACATTTGCACTATATGCTTGCATAAGCAAAAGGTCTGAAGATGTTTGATAATTGAAGCTGATACAAGCATAAGATGAGAAGAACTATTGTATTTATGCTAGTTTGAGTTCTTGAAACAGCATATTCTCAACAGTCCATTTGTTTTCACCCATACTTTTTAAGTTTTAATTGATATTTTAGCCATATGTTGAACTATACATTGGTTTTTAGCCATAAAATGAACTGTCCATCAGATTTTAGCCATAATTTTCAACTGCCCATTGGCTTTGAGCCATATTTTCAACTGTCATTTTATTTTTAGCCATATTTTCAACTGACCATTTGATTTTAGCCATGTTTTCTACTGTCCATTGGTTTTTAGCCATATTTTCATATGTCCATTGGATTTTAGCCTAGTCATTATCACTGCCTGGAAGTTGATGAACTTTTGGGAGTTTTTAACCAGGTTTTCCGAAGGAAAAAACTGGTTATTAGATTGAGGTATGTCGGCGGGCGGGCGGTCGGGCGGGCGGGCGGACGGGCGGGCGGGCGGGCGTAAACAATTTCTTCTGTGCGCAACTCCTCCTACATTTCTCAACGGATTTTGACCAAACTTTCACAGAAGCTTTGTCATCAAGTGCCCTGGCGCATATTGTCGGGGTTTTGCGATTAGATAATATTTGACCTAATTATGGCCCTTTGTTTTTTTTTCCTTATATAAAATATATAGTGAACAATTTATTCTGTGCGCAACTCCTCCTACATTTCTCAACGGATTTTGACCAAACTTTCTCAGAAGCTTTGTCATCAAGTGCCCTGACACATATTGCCAGAGTTTTGCAATTGGTATATATTTGACCTAATTATGGCCCTTTGTTTTTTTTCCTTATATAGAATATAAAGTGAACAATTTCTTCTGTGCGCAACTCCTCCTACATTTCTCAACGGATTTTGACCAAACTTTCTTAGAAGCTTTGTTATCAAGTGCCTGGCACATATTGTCGGGGTTTTGTGATTGGATAATATTTGACCGAATTATGGCCCTTTGTATATTTTTTCCTTATACAGAATATATAGAGAACAATTTCTTCTGTGCTCAACTCCTCCTACATTTCTCAACGGATTTTGACCAAACTTTCTTAGAAGCTTTGTTTTCAAGTGCCTGGCACATATTGTCGGGGTTTTGTGATTGGATAATATTTGACCGAATTATGGCCCTTTGTATATTTTTTCCTTATACAGAATATATAGTGAACAATTTCTACAGTGCGCAACTTCTCCTACATTTCTCAATGGATTTTGACCAAACTTTCACAGAAGCTTTGTCATCAAGTGCCCTGGCGCTCACTAAATTCCCATGTTTCTTCCAAGACATCATTCAAGTATTTTTTTAAAATTGTGAACATACTTTTCTTGATATCGCACAAAACACCACACGCCAATATTGTTGACAAAAGAAAATGACAAGAGACACAAAAATGCAAAAATTAAGCAAAAATAAAGTACTGTTTACCTTTCTAAAACATTTGGGAAAAAAAGGCGAATAGACAACATAAAATTTCTCAATCATTTTTGTTTGAGGAATATTAAAAAAGCCATAATTCCTCCTAAAAGTTCAATTAAAAACAAATGCCCCTTCATGACAAAGCTTCTGTGAAATATTTTGCTGAAAACCTGGTTGCATCGCATTGCGATGTTCCTTGTTTATGTCCTTTTGCAATAGGAGCACAGAAAGCACTAAATCTATACTTGATTGCTTTATGAATTATTTCTGCTTCAATCAGGGGTCAAGGAGGGCATCACGCTCATCTAGAGCAGGCTTGGATGTAAGTACATGCTGCACACACTTACCTTTTTTTCTAAAGGTGGTGACCCTATATCTAACAATTTAATTTAAAGGTGCTGACCCTTTATCTAACAACATGATGTAAAGGTGATAAACCTATTATCTAACAACAGAATATGAAGGTGATAAACCTTTGTCTAACAACATAATGCAAAGGTGATAAACCTATATCTAACAACATAATGTGAAGGTAGTTACCCTATATCTAACAGTTTAATTTAAATGTGATAAACCTATATATAACAACACAATCTAACGGTGGTGAACCCCTCTTTTTCTATTAATGTGATTTAAATGTGATTTAAATTTTAACCCCTTTTCAAGAATGCAATTTAAATGTGGTATCATTTTTTCAAAGATAGTGACCCTTTTTTCTAACATTATTCATATAAAGAATGTAAACCAGTATTAACAATAATACATTTTTTACATTATTATGTTATTAAAGATGTACTTTATTTTAACTATAATACATTTTGTACATTATTATGTTATTAAAGTTGTACTTTATATTAACAGTAATACATTTTGTACATTATTATGTTATTAAAGTTGTACTTTATATTAACAATAATACATTTTGTACATTATTATGTTATTAAAGTTGTACTTTATATCAACAATAATACATTTTGTACATTATTATGTTATTAAAGTTGTACTTTATATTAACAATAATACATTTTGTACATTATTATGTTATTAAAGTTGTGTACTTTATATTAACAATAATACATTTTGTACATTATTATGTTATTAAAGTTGTGTACTTTATATTAACAATAATACATTTTGTACATTATTATGTTATTAAAGTTGTGTACTTTATATTAACAATAATACATTTTGTACATTATTATGTTATTAAAGTTGTACTTTATATTAACAATAATAAATTTTGTACATTATTATGTTATTAAAGTTGTACTTTATAACATGTTACTCATACCTCTAAAAGTGATGACAGTTTTTATTCAGTAATACTATTACCTCATTTGATAATCACTTAAATGAAAAGCACTAAGATGGTAATAATAATGTTTATTAAGATGAGACCTGCATATGATAAAAGTATTTGTTGACATTTGTTTAATATCTTTCTTATCATGATAATAACATGTTATCAGAAGTTCTCTTTTTCAGTATATAATGATATATTATATTCTAATAATGTAACTTTCAAACTGTAACATACAAACACATTAACAGATTAATTTAACTTACTTATAATACTGAGGAATGTATATATATCGTCTTGCACTTAACTTTTAATTGTTCTAAACCCTTAATATGAGTCTTGTCTTTTCTGAAACAAAATTGCTCATTTTAAGCTGTCAAAAGTATAGATCAAAGATGAAAAGACTTGTCTGGCTGTATACTAGTGGCAAAGTATGGTGGCTTATTTGGTACACTTTGCATGTTGCCTTGTTGATAGGGACAACACAACCTATATCATTATTGCCTTTTAGTCTTGTTGTCTTGTCCCTAGCAAAATGCACCAGACGGCGCCTTGTCACACTGTCATCTTGTCATCACAGCCGTTTGGCCTGCATCGTAAGGGACAAGACGAAAGTCCGACAACGTGCAAAGCACAAAAGTGTTCCAAATTAGCCACCGTAGCAAATGCTAATAACTTTTGTTTCAAGCAGGTTTTAAGGTTAAATATTGTAATATATCTAATTATCACATATATTTGTTTAGATGAAAAGAAAGGTATAGACTGCACCAGAATGCTTGAAGTGTCTGGAGGAACACACATTATATTCATATATTATTTTTATCACATGACTTATTTTAAGTTCAACTATTCTTGTCAAAGAGACATTGAGATCATTTTTGCAGGCGATGTCTCTTTGGACCCACGGTTTGACTGACAAAAAATCAGTTTGTAAAATAGATCAAACCGTTCACCCTTAATGAGGCTAATGCCTTTCTTTGCTTATTTTCAGTACATTATTTTAAAAGAGTCATTACTTATTTCTTCTTTTTATAAACATTTGATACAAAAATGGCCTATCAAATGGGGATTTTTGTTGTTTTATGTCTTTCTGGACTTTAGTATAGATATGTCATGTGATAAAGTTCTGCTCATTTGTTGTTGCTTGAGTCTTTATGAAACAAAATGTCGTGAAATATCCTGTATATTTGTCACTGTTGTTTTTTTGTTTTGTTTTTCTTTCTTTTGGCAATAAAATCTGCAGCATGCTATGAAATGTTTTGAGTTTACCTATTGTAGATTAGTTCTCAACACAGCAGTTTTTTAGAAAAATATCAATTTTGAGTGCCTTTTTGTAGAATAATGCACGCTTCAAGTTAAAAAAATATTATCACAAAGGTTGATATGGCCCAGCAATTAATTTAATACAAAGCATTTGAAAGATAAACCATGCATTATTATACTACAATTGGCAAGGAAATATTCATATCTGTTTCAATTTTTAAATGCTAAAATAAAAGAGATTTTTGATATAAATGTGTTGAACTGCATTAAACATAGAAGTTAAATTTCCTGATGTCATTTCACATTGGTTTGTTGACATCATATTATGACATCATACAATGTGAAAGCATTCATTTTTTATGCCTTGCATGTATCGTGTAATAACATAGTATCACTTGACTGTCCTATATGTTCCATAGAGGATTTATGCAAAGCTTGTTCGAAAAAAAAAGATAATAATGATTAAGTAGCAATTTAAGAGGCAAATTATTATTACATCTTTCCAGTTTATATAGTGTTATAGGGCATATAGTGTTACCCTGTTTTCCGTCATCATCAGTTTCCCTTCATTATCTTAGTAACGGTTGCACACATTCAACTCAAATTTGACATATTGATATGTCATGAGAAAATACAGGTCATGTCTGATTTTGGTCATGGTTCTATGATTTTTAAAAGAGTTATGCCCCTTTTACTTTGAAAGTTATATGAAATTTTCAGTTTCTGTTCATTATCTCTCTAAAGGGTATTACACATTCAACTCAAACTTGACATATGGATATGTAATGAGAAAATACAGGTCAAAAGTTCAAATTTGACCATGGTTCGATGATTTTGGCAGAGTTATGTCCCTTTTACTTTGAAAATAATATGAAATTTTCAGTTTCCGTTCATTATCTCCCCAACAGTATTACACATTCAACTCAAATTTGACATATGGATACGTTAAAAGAATGCGCAGGCCAAGTTTGAACTTGGTCATGGTTCAATGATTTTTGGCAGAGTAATGCCCCTTTCACTTTGAAAATAATATGAAATTTTAAGTTTCTGTTCATTATCTCCCCAACAGTGTTACATATTCAACTCAAATTTTACATATGGATATGTCAAAGGAATGCACAGGTCAAGTTTAAATTTGGTCATGGTTTGATGATTTTGGCAGAGTTATGCCCCTTTGAAAAAAAGGAAATTTTCAGTTCACATTCATTACCTCCCCAACAGTTGTACATATTCAACAACAAATTAAAGATATGGGTTTGTCATAAGAATGCATTGGTCAAGTTCGAATTTGGTCATGGTTTGATGATAGCTGACAGAGTTATCCCTCTTGAACTTTGAAAAAAAATCAGAAATTTTAAGTTTCCGTTCATTATCTCCCCAATGGTTGTACACATTCAACTCAAATTTGACATATAGATACATCTTAGGAATAAGCAGTTCAAGTTTGAATTTGGTCGTGGTTCAATGATTTTGGACAAAGTTATCTTTCTTGAATGTTGGAAAAATTTTGAATTTTCAGTTTCAGCACTCATACTTTTGTGGAAATGTATATAGCCATTATTTTAATATTTGAATAGTTTCAGTGCCTTGAACTTTGTATAAAAGTGGTTTATGCTAACATTGAATAGTTTGAAGGGCTTTGAACTTAAAATGAAAAAAATAATTTGTGCAAACAAATTTGGAACTAAATATTAATATTATAACATCTGGAATTTTGCTGGCATGCGGAGGCATCCATGGCATGATGACACATTTCTAGTTGAAATTATTCATCGTTATTCTAGTTGTACTGTACTTTTTTAAGTCATTAAGTTACTGTATACAAATATACATGTATATTATATCTACCAATATTATTGTATAAAAGCATGTAAAATGTATCCAAGTATCATATGGATATACTTGCACTGTGTTTCAATTGTTTTGTGAGTGGAACATCTTATTTTTCATCACATAACATTCCCTCTCTCTGTTGGAACAATATACATATAGAAAAATGTATATCTCATTGTTAATGACAAGCTTGTATACTGGAATTGTATCCATTATTTCAATGGTAAAGCAATTTATTTTTATTAAAAATAATATTAATTACATAAATGACTGGAATAAAACTGACATCCTGACTCTATTTTTATTAGATACTTAATATTTACAGTAGAGTTACTTTATATTTAATTAATCAATGAATTAATAATTAAGAAAACTAGTTGTAAGATCACATTTCATTCTCAAGCAACTTTTTAAGTAAATATTTTGAAAGTACATTTGTAACTAAAAATTTCAACTCTATTTTATGATATACCAAATTTTTTAGATATCTTTATAGTTAATTAATCTATAAATTAATAATTAAGAATTCAAGTTGCACGTACATAAGAACTTATTTTATTTCATGCTTTCCAGTGTTTTATTGTAATATATCAGATGATTATATTCTGATAAACCACTAGTGAAATTTATAAAATATAATTTTCACTGTAGCCGGACTATATCTGATTGCGGATGAACAGAAAATCATAAATAAATGGAATAACAGGCAGAAATAAATGCCGTCATATGTAAATTTTGCTTCTTTAGGAAAAGAAAGTCAATGTCATCATACAGCATGTTAGAAATTTAACAAAATTAGAGAAATTTAACGGAACTAGATTTCAAAACTGATGATGTGACGTCATGATATAATGACGTCACAAAGGAGAATGCGCAACGTTACGTGGCAAAATCAGTAAAAAATTACTTAAAATAACTTAAAAAGCATAAAATAAAAAGAAAATTTGTTTGTTTTACATATAAGATTGAAATATATTTCATTCGTGAACACCAGCTATTATATATACACTCGTGGCTACGCCACTCGTGAAAATATTGCATCTGGTGTTCACTCAGTGAAATTATATTTCAATCTTACATGCAAAACAAACAAATATCCTCTATTTATTCTTAAGCAAATTTAAAGTAAATATTTTGAAAGTAACATAGCCTAATATGATGCACTCTTATTTTACCTATTTTCTCTGCGCAAACATTTTTATTATTATATATATAAAAAGGCCAGCCTTTTTTAAACAGATGTGAAGTCCAGTCTGGTTCTTTACTTCTATCACAGACCCGCCATAAATGCAAATTCTGCAAAGATCCCGAGAAGTAAACTTTCGCAAAAAATAAATTATTTTTATCTTTTTGTTGTTTTTATTGTTAGGATGGTAAAAAGGGAGATGCTAAAGGCAAGAAATCACCATCTGCTGGTAAGAAAAAGGACGATCCTAAAGATAAAAGTAAAGGTAAAATTTCTACATTTGTTATTTACCGGTATTTAAAATAAGTTTTTGTTGTATATATATATGTACAATATGATAAAACCTACATACCATTGAATGAAACTTGTCCCTTTTTTGACTATTTAAAGAATAGTGAGGCTATCTGACTCAGCCTGGTGTACAGTTTAGGTTTTGCATCTTCATTTGAATGTATTTACTTTAGATTTAACATGTATTTGGAATCCTAAATATAGGTAACTATCCAAGAATCATAACTCTAGCATAGGGAGAGCTATTGTACTCACCCAGGCATTGACCTCAGTGTCACACATTATGTTTTTGTGTGCAAGTTGGTGTCTCTAGATGATGTTTAAGGGAACTTAAAACATTTATTTGATAGGGTAATAGAAGGTCACTAGTCAAGACCCATAACTCTAACACGGATTTTGATAGAAATATGGCCCTTTTTGAACTTACAAAAATTCTACATTATCCTGACTCTTGTTTTATTATCAATATTGAGATTAGTCTAGCACGCTGTCTTAGTGACAGCTCTTGTTTTTACTGTGATCTTCTCCTTAATGTGAGCTTTGTGAAAACTACATTATCCTTGCTAAGGCATTTCTGTTCCTTTACATTCAATTCTGTTCCTTTACATTCAATTCTGTTCCTTTACATTCAATTCTGTTCCTTTACATTCAATTATGTTCCTTTACATTCAATTCTGTTCCTTTACATTCAATTCTGTTCCTTTACATTCAATTCTGTTCCTTTACATTCAATTCTGTTCCTTTTAACATTCAATTCTGTTCCTTTACATTCAATTTTGTTCCTTTACATTCAATTCTGTTCCTTTACATTCATTTCTGTTCCTTTACATTTAATTCTGTTCCTTTACATTCAATTCCAGCAGTTGAATAGTTAAGCAAGAATCTCAACTCTTATATATCATAATATATCATTTCTGATGGATTCAAGCAGTCCATGGACCTTTCCGGTTTTTCGTAGCGGAACATTTAGCCACACCTTTCCCATTCATTGCTAGTTCAACTGCTCACAAACAGTATCACAAACATAACCACATGTTCTTGCAAACTAGGTCAACCAGTGACTATGTATTATCTCACTGTAGCAATTGGATATAAAGTTAGCCAATTTACTTAAAACTGAAAACAGCGGAAAGGTCTATTCCTGTTAAATTGCCGGTTGGGGATTAAAGTAATGTACAGGATAATCTGATTCATCTGGGAATGTCCTCCAACATTATTACTACATGAGTTTATCAAAGAACATTTGTATTGTTATTAGTATCTCATATATTTTATCATATTTTAGACCGTAAGTCAAGTGCAGGCAAGGGAGGTAAGGCTGGTAAGGCAGATAAAGGTAAAGGAGGAAAACCAGGTTATTGATTTTATACAAATGTTTTTGTTACATTTTTAGCTCACCAGAACTGAAGGTTCAGGGTGAGCTATTAGTATCAAAGGGGGATATTCCGGTGTCCATCATCATGCGTCAACAATCATCTTCTTCTCTGGAACTGCTGTGCAGATTTACTTCAAATTTGGTCTGTAGCATCCGTGTGATAGTCACACTTGAATTTTTTTCCATGTCATTTAAATTGGTACCTATTAGGGGTCAACAAGCTAAAAATAGAAAAAACCTTTAAACATCTTCTACTACAGAACTAATTGTCGGATGATCACCAAACTTTGTCTGTAAGCATTCTCAGGTAGTATTTTATCTAGTTTGCTCGCATACATGTATTAATTTGATTGGCCCCTTTTAACCCATTACCCGATACACACACCTTTAAACGCCTCCCCCCTCCCCCCTATGTGCCCCCAAGACTTGTTTTTGTTTGAGAAATGTCGCTTAAAAAAGTGACCACTTTTTTGGCGCCGCCCTGCATCCAAAAGATATATCAGGGGGTTGCCAGAAGTGGGATGTGCCCCCTCCTGTTTGGGGGGTTTGAAGGGGGGCGGTAGTCCCCCTTTTTGACAAGAAAATTTTGGACTTGTAAGAGGCTTAAATGACCCCAGATCGATCATAAGGTAACGTGTAACCAACGCTGAAAAGCCTTTGACTCTATCTCAATCCATTGAGAAGTTGCAGCACTTTGAAATCAATTTTGATGGAAAAAATCAAGGCAAAATAGTGATTTTTGGCAATTTTGAGATGTCCCCTCGTTTCCATGAACAGGAAATTTAAGACTGAGCATGTCATTACAAAGGCAATGGTCCAGTCAACATTTGTGCCAAGTTTGATTAGTATTGAAGCAGTTTTGATAGTTTTATAGCAATTTGAACTTGAAACGGCAGACTTTTCAATGAAAACAGCCATTTTTCACAAAATGCTCATGAAGTAATGGGTTAAGGGTCTCTAGGGCTAAAAATAGAAAAACCTTTTAACATCTTCTTCTACAGAACTAATTGATGGATGATTGATAATCTGATTCATCTGGGATTGTCCTCCAACATTATTGCTACATTTAATTTACCAAAGGACATTTGTATTGTTATTAGTATCTCATATATTTCATCATATTTTAGACCGTAAGTCAAGTGCAGGCAAGGGAGGTAAGGATGGTAAGGCAGATAAAGGTAAAGGAGGAAAAGGTGCCCCAGTGGTTGCTGCTGGGGATGATGATGAAGATCCGGGACCCCCACCACCTCTTGAGGTAATGCTCATAATTGAGCCGCACCATGGCAAAACCAACATAATGTGTTAGCGACCATCATGGATCAAGACCAGCCTGCGCATCCGAGCAGTCTGATCAGGATCCATGCTGTTCAATTACAATTTCTATAACAAGTAGAGAAACTGATAGAGAACAGCATGGATCCTGATCAGACTGCGCGGCTATTATAACCCATTATGTTGGTTTTGTCATGGCGCGGCTCATATATAATTTTATTGTTTAATTTGTTGAATTTTCACATAATCCATTGCACAGGAGTAAAATAAAGCCATTCAATAAAAACGATTTTACACTTGTGTTATTATAACAATTTGATATGATGTCATTTGTGTTATATACAAACATAGAGTTAAATTGCGCTTGCTAAGTGTTTCACCATACGCACGCCGATGAAAAATTACTCTTTTTAACTTAAAAGCAGCAGACCTCAAGATTGTAGTAAACAAACTGTTGTTTTTATATCAACTATATAAAACTAAAAAAAAATTGACCTGAGGAATAGTTCTTTTAAGAAATTCATTTAATGATTTTTCAATTGATTTTTCCTCTATTCAAAGTTTCTTACATTCTATAGCTAAAACAACGGTTTCAGTATATACATGAATTGTTTGTTTGCAGGAAATAACACAATGATATTGCTAATACAATGCTTTTTCAATTTATTGAATAGTACATGTATATTTATTGCCATGACGTATTTGGTATATGATCATAAAGTTTTATGATTTGACACTTAACAAAAATTGCTTTAAATTGTCATGGCTCACTGGATATAGTATATATAATTTATCATTCAGTTAAATTGCTTTTAAATGCCATATTGCCAACATAATATATTATTCATAGTAATACCCAGTCACTGAAAAGATCTAAACACCCATGGGTGTTCGGAATGTTATACAATTGCATATCTTCCGTATCTTTATGGAGACTGGTCACAGTCTATATGGATATGCACGCTTCTATTAATTTATATTGTTAGCATTGAGTAAAGTAAGTAAATCGTTTCTTGGCTGAGTTGTTCAAAACTTAAGTAAGCAAACTTAAACAGCAAATTAACTGTTGTTATAGATTTTAATATTTGTTAGCTAATACCAGGAGAAGTAGAAAAGTTTATTTCAAACTTGTACACTCAAGCGCAGCTTTGGGCCATATACCAGTTCCTCAGTCTGATCAACCAGTCCGTAAACTTGCATATTGCCCTCAAGGTCATGTTTTATTTGTTAAATATTCTTAATTTCTATGTCTGTTTATGGCTGGGACCAAAAATATATAAACTGCCTGTGTATAAAGCGATCTTAATTAAGGTTCTCTGTAATATTGACTTGTTTATTTGTTCTATGTTTTAGATTCATATAAGTGTACAGTTACATCATTGGAAGACAGCTATGGATCTATTAAAGGATGAAGAAGCCAAGAAAAAAGAAGAAGAAGAAGCTGCAGCAGCCATGAATCAAACAGAAGAATCATAATTTATGTTGCTCTTACTCTTATTAAATGAACTGTTTCGCTGAAAATCTGAAAATTGGATAAATCTGGATTTATCCTGATATTCTAAATGTCTTTCTGTGATATTTTTTTTCATTAGAGGCAAATGCAAATTAAATGTCTTTATGGATAAAACCTTGTTTCATAAAACTTTTCCTGAAAAAATGCTGACATTCTGTATTTTGGCAGTGACCTTAAGTTTGCTGGTTTGAAGCAGTTTGGAACTTTTAGCTACACTCAAACCAATTATTTTATTTTTTTAAGCAGGCTTAATTCATTGATGTCATAAAGCATTTTGTAAAAAGTATTATGATCTTCTAATTCCTTCTAATGTTTTTTTGTTTTTTTTTGTGAACAGCCCCAGTTATTATACTCTTTCCCAATGAGTTTAAATAAAGATATACAATCCAACTTGCTCCAGAGATGATGTCCTTTACAGCCCATCCACTTTGTTACCTTTTTTTTCTAGCTCCTATTTGTAAAAGAACAATTTATATTCAATTAAGAAACAAACAATCAATGTTTCTTTCTTTAAGGTGGTCCCTGAGTATACAATTGATATACAATGTAGTATGTTTTAATTGAGCAATATAATATATTCATGCTATTGCCAGTGAATTGGAGCACTGATATTTGCACAACTATTACTTTTTTCACTTTTTTCACATCTTTATGTTTAATGCCATGTTTTTATAAGTTTTTGTTTTTATTTTTATACAATTTGTGTTATTTTTATGCTAATAATTTCAATGTTTAATGTTTAAAGGATTTTTTCTTTAATGAAGATGCATAAAAAATATAAGATGCTATTTTTGTTTGCATTTTGTTCTTTTTTTCAGCAGCCTTTCTTTTGCATTGCTTTAATTGAGCTATTCCGAAATGTTGTACCTGAAATTCAATATCAGACTTAAAGATAACAGTGTCGTAAATGAGTCTTGTATTTGAGTATTTCTTTGTTTGCTGCAGTTTAATTTCAAATTCTTATGCGTTAAAACGAACAAATACAAAGTGATAATTTGTAAATTTGGCATGTAACTTTTATTTACGCTGATCACATGATATAATACCTGTTCATGGTAATAAAAGATTATGTAGTTTTTTTTGGAGAAAAAAAGGAGTGTTAGTTCAATAAACATTTGAATATTTTACGACATACAGAATTGTTTTATAATGTTTGTTTGTGCATTTTATATACTTTGAATGGTTTTATTTTACACACTTTTTTTTTATACATTTCGTTTTCAGAATGATTATTAATTTTTGTCTAGAAACTTAATTTGGGACGATTTTTAATTCTGGAGCATTAATTTTGAAAAAAAGTTTGTTTTATATGATGTTGTCTTTGCCAAATGTTATAACAATCTCTGCATATTTGTTATAACATATGACTGTGATATTTTGTCAGTTTTACACATAATGTTATCTATATGTCATAATTTTTAATAAATAAAAACTGTTTACAAATAAAGGTTTTTCATTATTATTGTAATTATTAATTTTTAAACATTAGGCGTGGTATCAAAACAATATTTCTAAATTGAAGATAACAGGGAAATCCGCCTTATACATTTTTGTATCCTTGAATTCTGCTAGGAACTAGTAATGCCAGCTGTCACCGTTGTTCCCCGTATGCTGCCTACCAGTGCATATTATGTAGAATAAAGAAATGTATTAATAGGACACAATTGACCATGTACCTAAGAACGTGACTTGCTGACTTTTGTGTTTTGTGGATGTTTATTTGTCCGATAATGCATATAATAAGATCCACCGCCGGGTGCGGGCAACGCTTAACACCTTTTTAGCTCACCTTGCACAAAGTGCAGGTGAGCTTTTAGGATGGCCAACCAAATGGCGTCCGTCGTCTGTTGTCCGTCCACATTTTAAATATTCTAAGGACATCTTCTATGATACCGCAAGGCCAATGTTAATGAAACTTGGCAGGAATACTCTTTGTATGAAGCTCTATCAAGATTGTTCAAAGAATTCCATTTCATGCAGAAATCTTTAAATATCTTCTTTTAAAGAACCGTAAGAGCTAGAGCTTAGATATTTGGCATGAAACATTTTCTAATGAGTGTCTACCAAGTTTGTTCAAATAAAAGCCTTAGGGTCAAAATTGGCCCTGCCCCAGGGGGTCATTGATTTTCCCTATATGCATATAGTAAAAACTTAAAAAATCTTCTTTTAAAGAACCCAAAGAGCTAGAGCTAAGATATTTGGCATGAAACATCTTCTAGTGAGTGTCTACCAAGTTTGTTCAAATACAAGCCCTGGGGTCAAAATTGGCCCCGCCCCGGGGGGTCATTGATTTTCCCTATATGCATATAGTAAAAACTTAAAAAATCTTCTTTTAAAGAACTGTAAAAGCTAGAGCTTAGATATTTGGCATGAAACATCTTCTAGTGAATGTCTACCAAGTTTGTTCAAATAAAAGCCCTGGGGTCAAAATTGGCCCCGCCCCAGGGGGTCATAGATTTTCCCTATATGCATATAGTAAAAACTTAAAAAATCTTCTTTTAAAGAACCCAAAGAGCTAGAGCTAAGATATTTGACATGAAATATCTTCTAGTGAGTGTCTACCAAGTTTGTTCAAATAAAAGCCCTGGGGTCAAAATTGGCCCCGCCCCGGGGGGTCATTGATTTTCCCTATATGCATATAGTAAAAACTTAAAAAATCTTCTTTTAAAGAACTGTAAGAGCTAGAGCTTAGATATTTGGCATGAAACATCTTCTAGTGAATGTCTACCAAGTTTGTTCAAATAAAAGCCCTAGGGTCAAAATTGGCCCTGTCCCAGGGGGTCATAGATTTTCCCTATATGCATATAGTAAAAACTTAAAAAATCTTCTTTTAAAGAACCCAAAGAGCTAGAGCTAAGATATTTGACATGAAACATCTTCTAATGAGTGTCTACCAAGTTTGTTCAAATAAAAGCCCTGGGGTCAAAATTGGCCCCGCCCCGGGGGGTCATTGATTTTCCCTATATGCATATAGTAAAAACTTAAAAAATCTTCTTTTAAAGAACTCAAAGAGCTAGAGCTAAGATATTTAGCATGAAACATGTTCTAATGGGTGTCTACCAAGTATGTTCAAATAAAAGCCCTGGGGTCAAAAATGGCCCTGCCCGGGGGGTCATTGATTTTCCTTATATGTGTATAGCAAAAACTTAAAAATCTTCTTTGAAAAAACCCAAATAGCTTGAGTTTAGATATTATACATGAAACATCTTTAAGTAAATATCTACAAAGTTTGTTCAAATAAAAGCCCTGGGGTCAAAACTGGCCCTGCCCCAGGGGTGTCATTGTTTTTAACTATATGTGTATAGTAAAAACTTAAAAATCTTCTTTTAAAAAACCCAATGAGCTAGAACTTAGATGTTTAGCATGAAACATCTTCTTACGGGTGTCTACCAAGTCTGTTCAAATAAAAGCCCTTGGGTAAAAATTGGCCCGGGGGAGGGGGGGGGCTATATACAGGTGAGCGACCTCAGGGCCATCATGGCCCTCTTGTTTTACTTGAGCTAAGAAAATAGAATAAAAATCGAATCATTTGACAGTCAAGGTCATTTAAAAGTCCATGCCATATCAAAATTATTCGACATGTCTGTTTGGTCACAAGTGTTGTTTGTCCATATATAAATCAAATCCGTATGTAAATAGCAAAATTATGACAAATTTACCAGAATCTTGATGGACAAGGTCAATTAAGGTCAAGGTCAGTTCAATTTTTTAGAATGTCTTATCCAAAAGGTTGTCCAAGTATAAAAATAATCCATTGATTAATTACAAAGTTACAGCCAATTATAATCAGTAAAAGTAAAATAATTTGACCTTCAAAGTCATACTTGAGTCAAAGTCAATTTGATATACATGAAGGTCCTGACCTAAAAGATTGATCTTAATAGCAAGTTAATCCATTTATAAATAACCAAGTTATAGCCAGTTACAGTAAAAATTAAGAGAATTCCATTCCATTAATTTGACATTGATAGTCAAGGTCAATTAAGGTCAAGGACACATCAAAATAATTCAATATGTTTGTTTGGTAGCAATTCTGTTTTGTCCAAGTTTAAACAAATCAGTACATAACAAAATTTGGACAATTTAACCAAAATTCAATAATAATAATTTATTAATCAAGGTCAGTTCAACCTTTTAGAAGGTTACAATTGCCCAAAATTCCTTTGTCAAAGTATGAAGACTGTCCATTTATTCATTCTGAAGTAACAGTCATTTATAGCAAAAATCATTGAAAAATCAATAATTTAACTTTCCAAGGTCATAAAGAGCCAAGGCCGATTTGAGTTTGATACACATGAAGCTTTTATCCTAAAGAATGTTCTGTTATACTATGATGTCAATCCATTCAATAATATCAAATGAAAATTTCAATAATTTGACCATCAAGGTCAAAGTCATTTATGCGTGAAGGTCAAGGTCTGTCTGATTATCTTGAAAGTCTATGCTAAAAATAATTATTATTATGTTCAAGTTTGAAGACAATTTATTTAAAAATAACAAAGTTATAGCCACTAATAGCAAAAAACCCCAACAAAACAAGCAAAATTGAGACATTTGACCTTGACGGTCAGAGTTATTTATGAATGAAGGACAAGGTTAGTCTTGTCAATTGAAGGTCTTATAAAGTAAATGATGTAACGCCGATATCGCGAATGAAGCAGCGCTGGTTATCTCGTAAAAAGGTGCCTGAATCACAATTTAGCAAGTGTCGAGCTAGTGATAAGTGTAGGTCTTAAAGTAGCACGCCTCCAGAGTCACGTTATTTTTCATAAATGTTTTGGAAATGTATTTAAAAGTAAAATGATTTTAGATGAACAAATAAAGTAATTTACATAATTCAATCTGCACTTACAATCCGCGAAAATTACCAAAATGTGGCCAACATATGCAAAAACAGCCCTTACTGCGTTAGTAACGCAGTAGAAATATGGCGATAAAATACTGCAAAGCCAGTGTTAAAATGCACTTAACATGTGAAACATAACTTGGATTTTGAATTTTTTTTTACCTTTCTTAAAAGTTTAGTGCATTTTTCTCAAGATCTAGAGGCGTGCAGCTAAAGAGAGTAATAGCACACCGTACAATCAAATGGGCAGACAGCTGTTCCAGCGTCCACAGCTGTACCAGTATATACATGTCGGCGCGGGGAATACAATTGACGTATGATAAGTACTCATCTATTTTTAACATATCCAAACTGTGTTCGAGTAAATCAATGTTATGGATTCATAGTCAACATCCAAAGAATCATGCTAACAAATTTCTGGCCCTGTGCAAGCTTTACTTCACATGAATTTTGACTGAAAATAACCACACTATCCGATGAGATGCGGTATTTTTAGTTTGAAGTCACAAAAACTTATATTTTCTCATGATAATTAATCCTTTTTTCATACGATTCGTAAACGTCAACATTTTGTCATTAAATATTCCAAACCATACCTTCAAAAAAGCTTTTCTGTTAAAGTTATAAGGTATTTAAGTTTGAGTGTAATCAAAATTTTAGTAACGTCATCAGCTGTTCGCCACTTTTTAATGATAACATCGACAGCAATTCATCGGCAAGGATGAATAACGCTGAAAGCTGTTCAAAGAAACAATTTTCAGCGCTTTTGTGCTACAGTAACTAGGAAAAAGTAAAACTTTTTTGTTCATTTAAAATATTACTTTATTCATGATACTTTCTAATTAATTTTTTTAATTATTACTTTCTATCATTTGTTGTATCTTAGCTTAGAGGCCTTTATCTCCATTTACTGCAATCGCACTGTATTTCAATATTGATAGTGTTCATATGAATGAATGAGTGAGTGAGTGAGTGAATGAATGAATGAATGAATGAATTAATTAATTAATTAATTAATGAACGAACGAATGATACGTATATGTTAAAACAAATTGTCTGTGGAAAGTTTATGAGTTGTAATATTCTAAAAATTACATATTATACATTCATTTTTCTTCCTATGCATGTCCTGTTGTTGTTGTTGTTGTTTTCTATTTCAGAAGGCCACATTGGAAATAAGATATATATGATTGTTATTGTATGTTATTAATGTATAACCTTCTTTAAATAAAGATATTATTTTTATTATTATTATTATTATATAAAAAGGTAGCAAGATCTATTAATATGTTTCTGAAATGTTAAATTCAAAGAAAGTAAAGGCAAATTTAACGCTTAATACGAATTCTCTGTATTATAACTAAATCCATCAAGCGTTATCATAAATAATGGCATATAGTAGACATGTCCCATGCAGTAAATGGATGTGTAACCCGAGATGTCTGCCATATAAAATGATTTATTTAAAAAATAAGAATTTAAATAATTTTTAAGAATGGTTATTATTTCTATTGCACTATACATTAAAACAGATTTCAAGGATAAATATCAACATGTTTTTCCATGCACTTTCATATCTCGGGTTACACAG